AGCGAGTTTACAAGTTAGATTGTGAATCGGGTCTCTCTTACATAGGTCAAACAAAAAGATCCATAAAAACCCGCGTGAAAGAACATATAGCTGACGTGAAGCACCGACGCTCCGGGAAGTCTGCAGTCTGTGAACATGTTCAACATCGTCCCCACCATTACATCAGATTTGATAAACCACAAGTTCTCGCAAAAGAACACCGATTCCTACCAAGGATGATACGCGAGGCTATTGAAATTAAAAAAAAACATCCTAATTTCAATAGAGAAGATGGTTGGGTGCTGCCATCTGCTTGGGATCCTATTATTAACAAAATTAAACCAAAACCCAAGCATACCACTGCAAGTCTTCAAAACACAGTTAGTTCATTCTGCTTAGATCGGACCAAAGACAATAATTAAAAAGCTGAATGTACTCCGGGTTAACTTTAGCATCGGGACGTCAATCACCTCAGTCCCCCGCGACCATGGGTGCTGGAAAGCACCCGAAACGTCGGGTATTAAAAATAAAATAAATAAAACGCGATAAAATCCGTAAAAGTAGTTTTAATCAATAATTAATTTTAATTAATAATATTATTATTATTGGGGTATCTATATAATTTTCTCACCTGGTTGGGTTCTATAAATATATAATTATAAATTAAAATGAAAAGATAAATATACATAAATATCAATAAAATAAAATAAATACAAAAACTACATAAATAAGTAAGATCCAACCAGATGGGAGCCCTCGGCATGGGAGACCAAACGGCCGAGGGTTAGGGGGAAAGGGAAAGAAACCGGCGGACGATGAGGGCGGTATCGAGGAGCACCGCCTTCTGCATTTGAGCCCGGAGCGGAGTCACGGAGTCCCAGTCCCTTCAGATGACCCGAGAGGCTGACTGGGATTAGCCCATTCGCAGAGACGACTACAGGAATAATTTCGGCCGGCATACCACCCCACATGTCGGTCACCTCGTGAGCCAGGTCCAGATATTTTGTTCGTTTATCTGTTTCGGCTTTCATGAGGTTCTCGTAATACGGAATAGTAATGTCGACCAAAATATCCTTGACTCTGCCCGGTCCATCAGCACAATATCAGGCTTATTCGCAATAATAGTCCTGTCTGTGATGATGGCCCGGTCCCAATAGAGCCTGGCGCGGTCATTTTCGAGCACGGCTTCCGGCAAGTACTTGTAATACGGCAATTTTCGGTCCACGAGATCGTATTTCAGAGCGAGCTTCTGGTGTGGAATTCTGGCTACTAGGTTGTGTCTGTGCAAGTACTCAGAATTAGTAAGCGCCGAACAACCGGAGATGACATGCCTAAGTGACTCCCCGGGATGGCGGCAAGCTCGACAGACGTCGACAGTGCCATCCTTTAGGATGTATCTCCGATAGTTGTTGGTCTTAATAACCTGATCCTGTATTGCACAGACAAAACCCTCGGTTTCCCCCGAAGAGGTCACCGAAACGTAGCCAGTTGAGGGAGGCGGCTGTATCTACGTGAGGCTCATGTAGAGCCCTGTAATACCTCCCGTGGAGCTCCTTCTCCTTCCATACGGTCTCCCGGTCGGAAATGCTCTGTACTGCCGGGTCTTGCCATTGCCCGTTGGCTAAGGATAGAGGGGTAATTCCTTTATCACTAGAAATGACGTCATTGTAGAATGGATCATCCGATCTCGCCAGGAAGTAATGAGGGAGGCTGCACACTTCGCGATTATGCATGGTGAGCGCGCTCAGGAAGCCACGCCCACCATGCTTTCGCGGCAAGTACAGCCTCATTACCGACGATCTCGGATGATGCATCCTATGGGACGTCATTGTAGTGCGGACTTTTCTATCCAGGGCGTTAAGTTCAGTCTGACTCCACCTGAGTATGCCAAAGGTATACATGAGGACAGGCATGACCCAACCGTTATATGCATGTGTCTTATTCACACCGGACAAAAGGGCTGTTAAGCACTTTGGTCAAGCGTGCATAAAACACGTCGCAAACTGACTGTTTCATATCGGTCTCATCGATACCGATGTTCTGTGACATACCCAGGTATCGGTATGTTTCAGCCTCGGAAAGGGCCCTTAAGTTGACGGGCATAGATAAGTCTATGCCCTCAGAGTTAGCAAACCTTCCCCTTTCAACATGGAGGACCGCACACTTAGTAGCTCCATTCTAATAGAATTGCTAAATTCACAAGTGATGTTTAGCAAGTCCATAAGATGGGAGCGACTGGAGGCGAATAATTTGAAGTCATCCATATAGAAAAGGTTGGTCACTTTTGTACCTCCTTTCCGAAGCTGAAATCCCCTCCCGGAGTTCGCCAGTAAAGAACTGAGAAGGTTCAAAGAGAGGCAGAACCAGATAGGACTCAGACAGTCGCCCTGGAATATACCCCTTCTTATCCTTATGCGGCTTTCCGCAGCCGTCATCCGCTCACCTAGATGACAGAGGATCGTACTCCACTGCCCCATACACTGCTCGAGGAAGTCTCGAACTGTACAGTCAATCTTGTACAGCTCGAGGACCCTCTTTAGCCATGTATGGGGCACCGAGTCAAATGCCTTTCTGTAATCTATCCAGGCGGCGGAGAAGTTCCGACGGTTGCGTTTCACCACTTTGCCAATGACCGCGTCAATGAGGAGTGGTTCCTTGGTTCCACGATCGCCGCCCCGACATCCATTTTGAGCGCGCGACATCACCTGATTTGAGTCTAGGTGACGAGCGATTCTCGCGCTCAAAATGGATGTTAGTGTCTTGTATATGGTCGTTAGACACGTGATGGGGCGGTATTTGCTCGGGTCTGTGGCACCCTGATCTTTAGGAACCAAATGAGTAATCCCAGTAGTGAAGAGGCTTGGGAGCGACTTCTGGTCCTCTTGAAACTGTCGGGCGATCATAGCGTGACACACCATGAACCCCTTCAGCCAGTAGTGATGCAGCCCGTCAAGCCCCGGACTTTTCCAGTTCGGGGTCCTACGGACCGCCTCAGCTACGTCATCCGGCGTTATGATGACGGGGTCCATGGGCGTAATACCCGCACACTGACTCGCCACAACTTCCGTCCAAAGGCCCTCGTTGTGGTTTACGGGCTCTGACCACAGGCTGCGCCAGAATGCGACCGTGTCGGCCTGATTTGGTGCTGGGCCCGTTCCACTTACTATTGGTCGCTCAAATGATTTATAGAGCCTCCTCTGATCACTCTGGAAGAGAATTCTGGTTGAGCCGTGTCGACCTCTCGGTATATCGCCGAATCCGCTTTCCCCAAGCAGCAATTCTTTGCTTCAGGTCGTCTGTGCGCTCCGTCAGTTTTTGCATTATATCCGGCTGGGACAAACTAACATTTGTCCCAGCAAACGCCATCCTGACCGTGCGCACACTCCTTGGCCTGATATTGCCTGACCTGAAGCATATCAGTCTGCCGATGAGGGCCCTAGCCTTTGCGATACGTTCTTCAATTCTTATTCTCCAGGCTGGGATAGCACTACTTTGTCCAGTAGAGCGTCCAGCCGTGGAAAGTTTGGCGCCTATAATACGGCAGACTGCCAGTGCGGCGCCAAAAAGAATTGAGTCCGTCTCGCAAAGGTCCCGGCTGACTTTCAAATAGGTACCCAGCATTGGGTTCAGAGCCCTCACGACAGCCCGATTCCGCTTGCTTAGGGCTAAGCGGGGAAGTCGCGGTCGATTTTCGAGAGGCGTACTGCGCGTTTCCGCAATCGCCTCTTCCAATGTACTCCTCATTTGCTCTAGTTCCAGTTCCTGGGCGACTGGTCCATCATCGTTTGAATCAACCACAACTGGCGTATTCACGGCGGCATCCACATTTGCCGTTTGCTCAGCAAGTTGTGGCGCCGCATCCTCAGCCGCAGCATTTTTACCCGATGAAGGAACAGCCTCACGTCGTAGCCGTTCGAGTTCGGTGATATCAAATGTATTTGAGCGCAGGATATACCGAACTCGGTCTGCCAGGTTTTGCTCGGTGACGGTTACAGATGGCTCCAGCTCAGCAAAAAGTCGATGCATCCTTGCCCGATACGCAAACACATCCAGTTTCTCCCCCTTTCGCCTTAAAATACGCCCGCAATGCGTTGCTGTTCATCTGGGTTGTCCAACGCATGCGGCGTACTCCACCAGTGGCGGGTGCCGATTGCTGGGCCCGCGACGACCCTGCCGACACCAAGCCAGCTGGTGGGGATGATGGATGCGAGGGGCTGCTGGGTGGTCGTGCAGCACCTCGCGCTCGGCTGGCGCGTCCAGCGCCAGCTCCAGACGCGCCCTGGCGACCTACAGGCAGCGGACCTTTGCGCGTTCTACTTAATTCCATCATCCATTTTTAAGGGCGTCATTTAGCGTGAGACGCCCAGACCCGGCGCCGTTTCATGGTGAGGCCATGTGCACAAGCGGGCGTTTGCACCTTCAATATTTGCCGAGGCACGGAACTAACACCTCTTGGCAAGGTGCTGACTGACTGTGCTGACGTAGCGGTTTTATCACATAACCGTTACGTCAGCGGGCGATGGGGTCGTCACTTCCCTACGCCATGATATATTATTATTATTATTATTAATTATTACCTTAAATGATAATTATTGCACATATTATGATATTATGAAAAGTATTTAAATACGTACACTTATTACTAATGAGTTCACGTTTTAGAAAATTCATGGAACGCATTAGCGGTAAACACAATAGAGGTATCACCGAATAAATGAAGTATGCAAACCAACAACACGGGCCGTGTTGATGTTTACCACGTAGATATGATGATATGAATACTGGCGTAGACGTACGAATATTTAGAGTAATAACATGCATGACTAACCACAGTTAACACCTCAGTTTTAGTTCAATGTGGACAGTGACATCGACTGATTTATTTATCGCGAGAGTTTTATGAGAAATCGATAACACAGTGACGATGTTGATAGGAATAAAGCAGATCTTGTAAAGTGTCTGTGTCTTGGTAGAGAGTTTATTGTTGTGTAGTTTCGGAAGTGCCTCGATACGGAGTTGTGATGACCACCTTACTATTCAAAGTTAAAACTCTCGACGGTGGTGCGGCCACGAAACTGCTCCGACGAGGTTTGGATGTGAATATAAAAATACAGAGGTTCGTTTTAGGTGCGGCTGTGGCTGAACTTGAACGAGATCCTCGTAGTCTAAAGATGTTATACGTTAATGTATATATACATATATATATTATACTCGTATACCTACGTTTAATATACATATATGATTACTTTCACGCATTTTTGACATCTCTCCCATTTATCACGCAGCGTCAAAATTTTGTAGACCCTGCTCCCAACGACTAATGTAAAATAGAATGAAGGTGACAAACGAGCACACAGTCCACCTGATGCTAAGTGGATGCTGTGGCCCCATACATATTTACAATTATCATTGATTAAGCATCATAATGCAGATGCATTTTCATCCCTGAGGACTAAGATAAGCTGCTATTTCACACTGGGTATTCTGTGAGAGCATGGTCCTACCACGCTCGAGCCGACCCATTGTGCTACAAGCATAATAGCTGCAGCGTGGCTGATTCACGTATAAAAATCGACAATTTCTCCAAGCCTTGCGTCACGTTTACAGCAAACGTTCAGAACCCTCGTTACTTATCATCACGGTCATTGTTTTTCCTTCTTTTTTACGAACGAATTTTATAAAAGGTTTGTTTTAAATGTTTTAATAGTAGGTATTAAATTGAGTATTTGTGATGGCCCGGGTTTGTGTTATTATTCTGCAAAATTTCGAATAATTCGCAAGATATTAGTTAAATTTCAATTTACACGTAATTTTAACCTAGCTAGGTATGGAAAGATTTGCTTAGAACTGTAATTGTCATACGGACAACCAAAGGACTGTAAAAACAATTTCCTGTGTCGTATATTTTGGTCCATCTTCACACTTACAATGACCGGCGATATAAAAAAGCAAGGACTGAGGAAGTACATTTGCCGAATTGAGTCGTTATAATTAGTTTTTTCAAAGTATAATTGGTGCTTGTTATTCGTTTTCTTGTCAGCGTTATTTACTTAGTACGTCTCCTACTTGTTTAGTGTCTAATGTCCTCGGTTGTGAGTCCATTGAATTACAATCACATCGCACATCATCTGGCTAGCGCTTTTTGGGTCTGTCTCACGGTCTTGCCTCTACCGGAATTACGAATTATATTACTTTTTGATATTAATATTTAGATCTAATTCCCACACACATATACTTTTATTTAATTTGGTTTAAATCAAGGTAAGATGCGATGGTCACACGAAGAGAAGAACAAAAAGAAGTTTTTTATAAGGGTTATGTTTGTATAACAGCGAAACTTTTACATAGCAAACGTATTAGAATAGCTCCTTAATGGTGACGCTTGGTTTTAACACCTGCTTGGTGGAGTACGTTGGAAATATTTCTTTAAATACTTCTGCGGCAATACGACGCGAGTGGGGGTTTACACTCGGCCTTCATACTTCTTTATTGATCAGCTCGCATCAATGGCTGACGTCGAATTTGTTGGCGTGACAGCATTATGTCTGCTCGGTATAGCTAACTAGCTACTACGTGCAATTTATGGTTTTTATCATGAGGATCCTATATTACCCTCTCAATTTCATAACAATTTAATTGTTTTATCATTACCTAATATCATTAAAGCACAGACACAGGACATATAAAATATAGGACTAGCAAAATAGCAATTCCTGGGTGGTGGTAGTTCAGGAGTGAATATAATTTGAATGTGACACGTCGAGGGCCACGTTTTGATCTGATTGCATTGTTGTTGCAGACGAGCGGGAGGACGTGCAGAAGAAAACGTTCGCCAAATGGATCAACTCACAGCTGGTGAAGGTGGGCTATATGCTGATTGTTTAAATACAAAATGAGTGAGCTCGTCAGAAGTGTCAGGGAAAAGTCTAGAAGGAATGCTGTGCGAGAACACAATGGCTGTATTTTGAATGAAGAAGCTTCGAGTTTAAAGAGATGGAAGAAATGATTTGAAAGCATTATTAAATGTGGGGAAACATCTAAAGTAAATTAATAAAAAACTGAAAGAAAGAAAGTAGTGAGATAAGTATGAATGAAATAATAAAAGCAAGTAAAAGCATGAAAGTATGTAAGGCAACAAGGTATGATAGAGTGTCACTAGAAAGGCCGAGGGCTGGGGAGGGAGTGATGGCAGGCCTATTTTTTCTGCTTTTTTAATTTATGCTGGGAACTTAAGCGAGTACTTGGAGGTTGTTGCAAATCCAATATAGTTTCATTATAAAGGAACATTGTCGTGTAGTGGCGGTTGAGAATATCCACTACCCCATATCTTCCCGTGGGTGTCGTAAGAGGCGACAGAGGGAGACAGGCGGGAGATGGGCAGCAACATCTTCCTGATAACAACTGTGTTATAATAAAAAACTGCGGTTGCCAACCCGCTCGCCAAGCGTGGCAACTATGGCAAATATCCCCCCATGAATAATGACGCAAAAAAACGGCCCCGAGTCCCCGGCGGCCCCGCTATTCCTGGATACGGTGGCGACCATGGTAACGGCGGGGCAGGGGGTGCTAAGAATCTCCGGTGGAGGTTCGGTTGCCACCTACGACGACTCGACCTGGCAACATATAACGCACGCACCCTTAGGACTGACGAGAAGATACTGGAGCTGGAAGAAGAGGTAGACAAATTGCGCTGGCATATTATTGGATTATCCGAGGTCCGAAGAGAGGGGGGAGGATACGGCAATCCTCGAGTCCGGCAACTTGTTCTACCACCGGGAGGGCGACCATCTGTCCCAAGGAGGTGTCGGATTTATCGTTCACAAGTCTCTCGTCAACAACGTTGTAAAGATTGGGAGTGTGTCGACGAGGGTCGCGTACCTGATACTCAGAATCACCAAACGGTATTCGCTGAAGGTCATACAGGTTTACGCACCAACCTCGGTACATCCCGATGAGGAGGTGGAGGAAATGTATGAGGATATTTCCAGAGCCATGCATTCCTCTAAAACCCACTACACGGTGTTGATGGGAGACTTCAACGCAAAACTGGGCACAAGAGAAAGCGGTGAGCTGAAGGTGGGGAAATTTGGAGTAGGGCAACGGAACCGAAGGGGCCAGCAGCTGGCCGACTTTATGGAGAAAGAGGGACTCTTTATGATGAACTCTTTCTTCCAGAAGCGGCCCCACAGGAAGTGGACCTGGTCGAGCCCCGACGGTTCGACAAAAAATGAGATTGACTTCATTATGACGACCAGACGCCAACTGTTCAGTGATGTCTCAGTGATCGCAAGGGTGAAAACTGGCAGCGATCACCGAATGGTTAGAGGCACACTGAACCTAAAAGTTAAGTTGGAGAGGTCTCGTCTAATGAAGTCAACGCTCCGTCCCCCTCGTGCTCTAATCCAGAATCCCGAAACCTTTCAGCTCGAGTTACAAAACCGCTTTCAGTGCCTAGAGGATTGCAATGCAGTGGACGATATGAACGACAAGCTCGTGGAAACTGTCCATGCGGTCGAGCTAAGTTCTGCAAGACCCGCCGCAGAAAAACACAAAAACTCTCCGATCACACTCTTAATCTCATGGCTGTTAGACGGGAGATTAGGCTGCAATCGTCAACAGATTTGACAGCATACAGGCAGCTGAACAGACAGATCTCCAAATGCATGCGGCGAGACTTACGCAACTTTAATACTGCTCGTATTAAAGAAGCGATCGAGCGGAACCAGGGCTCCAAAGTCTTTGCCAGAGATCTGTCTGCCAGAAGGAGCCAACTGTCAAGGCTGAAGACTGAGTGTGGCAACATCGTTTCCGGGACACCTGAGATTCTGAGTGAGATTGAGAGGTTCTATGGGCAGCTGTACACATCATCGTTGGAGCCACACGCAAGTGTGAGTAACGATCCAAGAGCAAGTCTTATCCGACACTATTCCGATGATATCCCGGACGTCGGTCTGAGCGAGATTAGAATGGCTCTCCACCACCTTAAAAACGGCAAGGCCCCGGGCGAGGATGGAATTATAGCGGAGCTTCTGAAAGCGGGTGGAACACCGGTACTTGAAGTCCTTCAGAAGCTCTTCAATTCCGTCCTCCATGGTGGCATTACTCCGAAGGCGTGGAGCAGAAGCGCGGTGGTCTTGTTCTTTAAGAAAGGCGACAACCCTCTCTTGAAGAACTACAGACCGATTTCCCTTCTGAGCCGCGTCTACGTGCTGTTTTCGAGAGTCATTACGAATCGTCTCGCACGCAGACTCGACGACTTCCAGCCTCCCGAACAAGCCGTTTTCCGAAAAGGCTTCAGTACCATAGACCACATACATACCCTTCGGCAAATTGTACAGAAGTCCGAAGAGTACAATCTGCCACTTTGCCTGGCGTATGTGGACTATGAGAAAGCCTTTGATTCCGTCGAAATTTGGGCGGTGCTACAGTCTCTTCAGCGGTGCCTAGTTGACTGTCGGTATATTGAAGTGCTGAAGTGTTTGTACAGTAGGGCTACGATGGCTATCCGAGTACAGAACCAGAGTACGAAACCTATCCAACTGCAGAGAGGTGTAAGACAGGGTGATGTTATATCCCCGAAACTCTTCACCGCTGCGTTGGAAGACGTTTTCAAGCTACTGGACTGGAAAGGATACGGTATTAACATCAATGGCGAGTACATCACTCACCTTCGATTTGCCGACGATATAGTCCTTATGGCAGAATCGCTGGAGGACCTTAGCACTATGCTCAATGACCTCAATGGTGTCTCCCAACGGATAGGTCTTAAGATGAACATGGACAAAACAAAGATCATGTTTAATGTCCATGTCACACCTATGCCGGTAATTGTTGGGAGCACTATGCTCGAAGTTGTTGACGAGTACGCTTACCTGGGACAAATAGTCCGACTAGGTAAGTCCAACTTCGACCGAGAGGTCAATCGACGGATTCAACTCGGCTGGGCAGCGTTCGGGAAATTACGACACAACTTCTCATCAGGTATACCTCAATCTCTGAAAACTAAAGTGTACAACCAGTGCGTGTTGCCAGTGATGACTTACGGATCTGAGACGTGGTCCTTCACCGCTGGCCGTATGAGGACGCTCAAGGTTGCTCAGCGAGCTATGGAGAGGGCTATGCTCGGAGTTTCACTGCCTAATAGAATCAGAAATGAGGATATCCGCAGTGAAACCAGAGTGACCGACATAGCCCAACGGATTAGTAAGCTGAAGTGGCAATGGGCCGGCCATATAGCTCGAAGAACCGATAACCGATGGGGAAGAAAGGTTCTCGAGCGTCAGCCTCGTACCGGTAGGCGTAGTGTAGGGCGACCCCCCACTAGATGGAGTGATGACCTGGTAAGACATGCAGGAAGTCGATGGATGCAGGTGGCTCAGGACCGTGCTTTGTGGCATTACTTGGGGGAGGCCTATGTTCAGCAGTGGACTTGTGAAGGGCTGTAATGATGATGAATGATAAAGGAAAAGGGTCAAAGCGGATTGTAGAACTGTAAAAACTACCGTGCAATGAGTCTGCTAATTAGTTTACGTCATCGGTGGGCGAGTTGCAAACGATGGTTACATTATGCATTAAGTATGTATCAGTAAAAGGAAGGTGATAGCATGTTAATGTAAGAAAGACCAAAGTGATGGTCTTTAAAGAAAATGAAGTAAAATTATATATGTTGAGTAAGGTAATCTATTATTGGATGACCTTTTTTACCGTCTGGAAAAAATAGGATGTCACATGTGAACGGAATAGAAGCCTTTGGCACTGATATTTTACAAAAATAAAAACAAACTAAGCGTTTCAAAAATATTTTTTTGCGCAATTACTTTACCTTTTGCTCTTGAGCCTGTGACCCTGCGAAGTGACAAGGTCAAACATGCTTACTAAATTTATTGTTTTATTGCAATTCGTAAAGTAGGGTAGATATGATTTGAATTTCGGTAGATTTCAATTAATTAATTAATTTAATTCAAAATTTTTGTTTTTATTTTTTTGTAAAATATCAGTGCCATAGGCTTCTACTCCGTTCACATGTTATTTATTTCCAGACGGTAAAAAAGGTCATCCACTATATCGGGTGTCCGGTAATGAATGGATAACCTTGAAATATCTTATAGTACAACTTATTACCGTTCTGAAAAAAATACGAAACATAATATATCACAAGTAGTACCTTTGATATTTTTTTTAAAGAAAAGTAGATTTTTTTCTATCTTATTTTACTGTCTTGAACACTATGACCAAAAATGAATGATTTCTATTGGTGTTTTGTTGTTTTATTATTATACACTAACTGTGCTGATAGATAAAAAGTAAACAGTATGAATAGCTTTTGCAGTATTTATTTAAAAAATTCACAAATTAATTTATTTCTGAAAAACATGCAAAAATATTATTTAAGTGAAATTCAAACCTTTTGGGTATGAAAAAATGTATGAATGTATGTGTGACCAATAATTTTAAAATAATGCCGGTTTCATATAGATTTTATAGTGGTATAATTCATAAATGTATCTTCCATAAATAGTGACTGATTGCCATTAATGTAGAAAAGGAGAAAATTTGACTAAGTAACAAAATTTGTAATATGGGAACATTTTTAAATTGAATTGTGTCTGATCATTGGGGATTAATAAAAAACAACATTTAAAATTAAAATATTTTATTTTTCATTAATTTACAAAAAATGTTCAAATTGTTTGCCTCCCACTCTTATGCATGCCCTACAACTTCGGATAAATGATCTGAGCAGTCTTGTGTACCGTCGCTCGCATATTGTTGATGCGGCTGCTCTGCCACGACTGCGTAGTTCGTCCAAAGACCGCGCAGGCTTACAGTATACTTCCACTTCCAGGCAGCCCCAGTAAAAAAAAATCCAATGGATTTAGATCCGGTGAACGTGGAGGCCACAAAATTGGCCCTAGACGTCCGATCCATCTATTTGGGTATCTGCTATTTAAATATGCACGAACCGGAACAGCATAATGCGCAGGACAACCGTCATTTTGCAGCCAATACGATTCCCTTAGCTCCTCGGGAACCTCTTGTAATAAATTGGGGAGATAATTTTGAAGAAACTCCAAATAACTTTGCCCCGTTAAATTCCCCGGTAATTCAAATGGGCCAATTATCATACCATTTAATATTCCGGTCCAATAATTTATTTTAAATTGGTATTGCGACCTGTCTTCACGCATAAGATGGGGATTTTCTAGTTCCCAACTATGTAAATTGTGTAAATTTAAGTAACCGTCTCTTTTAAGCGTTGACTCATCGCTCCACAAAATTTTATTAAAAAATTGCGGGTCTTCTTCCATCTTTGCCAGCTTTTGCCGGCAAAAACGCACTCTTGAGAGATAATCTCTTGGTTGGAGAGTTTGCACGCCTGTGACGTGGTAAGGGTGGAATTCGTTTTTCCTTAAAATATCGTGTACGGTCGATTTTCCAATACCTGTGCGTCGAGCTAGGTTTGAACTTCGCTTAAGTAATATTTTTGCATGTTTTTCAAAAATAAATTGATTTGCGAATTTTTTAAATAAAAACTGTAAAAGCTATTTATACTATTTACTTTTTATCTATCAGCACAGTTAGTGTATAATAATAAAACAACAAAAAACCAATAGAAATCATTTGTTTTTGGTCATAGTGTTCAAGACAGTAAAATAAGAAGAGAAAAATCGACTTTTCTTAAAAAAATATATCAAAGGTACTACTTGTGATATATTATGTTTCGTATTTTTTTCGGAACGTCCATAAGTTGTACTATAAGACATTTCAAGGTTATCCATTCATTACCGGACAACCTGTATATTTGTACGTTCGAGAATCGTTACAAGGAACATTAATGTTGGTGTTCGCAGAACAACAAACCACTGGTGCAAGATCTCTTCGAGGACCTGCGTGACGGCGAGGTGCTGCTGTCGTTGCTCGAGATCCTCACCGCGCAGCAATATGTGAGATCTAATTTTGTATTTTATTTCTACTTTCCTAACATTTCTATTACAAGTGAAAAACATCAACATCGACATAGTTTTATTTATATTCTTTCTTTCTTTTTTCTGACTGCCTCGTTTGTATAGTCGTAAACACGTTTGCGGATCATGAAATCGTGGTTCGAATCCCGAGTCGGGCTAAAATCAGTTACCTATTAGATTTTTTGTCAAGAAATTGTCAGGAGCAGCCCGGAATCAAGAGTTTGGCGATGTTTCACCCCCATGCTGTGGAAAGCACGTAGACTTATAGGCTCCGCGCCTGATCGCTATCTATTCGTGCCGGATTGCCGTCCCATCGGACTATGACTTAGGGAAGGTGCGTATTTACGCGACCAGGTTTTTATACCAGGTAATTACTTGCAAGTACGCCGACCAAGTGCCGACCCAAAATACTCGCAAGATTTCAAAGTATTTGAATGTACTCACTCTGTCGACACTCGACGCGATTCTGTTCCTTATATATAATTATGTTACGGATTAATATTCAAGTATCTTATCAAGGTATAATATTTACTTTAAAGGATTGGAAGTATTTTTTTTTGTAAACGCGATTGTGCTCTTTATATGTATAAAGTTACGGATCAATGTTCTATGCAAGTATTTTTCTTCCAACACGGCTTGAAAGTTTATGATTTTAGCACATGCGATTGCACTCCTTATATGTATGATCTTACGGATCGATTTTCGATGCTGAAAGAAAATACTTGAAAGTATCTCGAGCCCTGGTTTTTTTGGCGCTGGTATCTGAAGGTGGACGTACTTGGAAGCCCTGGTACTCGATTTTGCAAGTACGACCCATCTCTACTATGACAGTGAGGGAACAGAGGCACTCTAATCCTGTCCTGCGCTGTGGAGTCTCCGCTGGTATCGTGAATGCAATGCGCCATCTGTCGGCAGCTACAAGATTTGTTGGTCATTTTCCATAATCGCCTCTTATACCGAGTTGTTATATTTAAAAACGCTTAGTTTTCTTTTACAAGCCGAATAAAAATCAAATATATAGGTATCTGGCACGTTATCTATATGTACAAGAATATTTTTTTGTCCCGTACGTGTTCCTATACCATGTATCCAATTACTTACGATATTTAGCGTACTCGCAAATGCGTCTGACAAAAATTTTATATAAGTTTTTTTTAATTTGTTCGTATTCTTTTACGTTATGTTCTTACGCCTGCCATTCATCTGAGAATGATGAAATGCTTCGATTCCATAAAAAGGGTCTTCGGTTCTCTACACTTAACATATGAAACACAGCAGCATTACACTGCTATTTTACGTTGGTATTCTGTGAGAGCGTGGTCCCGGTCGAGCCGACACATTTGTGCTACAACTGTAATATGGTAGCAGCGTGGCGCTACCACGTAAAAAACATTACTTATGCAAGTAAATGTACTATGCAAACAAATCTTCCAACACGTTTTCATGTCAACACACTCAAAATAATATTGTATGTTATTTATGTCGAAATCTTTTGGTTTCCAAAACTAGTTGGAAAACATGTTATGTACTATGAAATGTCAAACACGTTTTATTTCAACATATTGTTTGACAATGCACAAACAAAATACGATACAGTGTCAAAAAACTGAATTTTAAACATATTTTTATGTGAATGTTTCACCAGTTCAAACTCACGGTTACATTTTATCATTAATTGCGCAATTGTTTATTATTATTTGTTAACCATGTAATTATTTATTATCTTATGTACATCAAATGGCGAAGGTGAACTTAATGCCTAAAGCATTATGTGCCAGGTGCCTGGACACGACAGTTTTTAAGAACAAAATGGGAATAAGTAGCTGACGATTTATGAGTTCTTGCAATATGTTTTCGGTTTATTTGCTTTTGTTTGTCGGTTTCAAATCTGAATCATTATTCTACGACCTTGACACTAACGTTCTCACAGACACTTTTTGTAATGACACGGTGAAGCTGAGATCACAGTTTGTGGCTAGGTCACCTGTCATCCTTGTCACACATCTAACTGAGCATTTTTACGTTTATTTTGTTGTCACTGTTTTAGAATGAGGGTGAGAAATGAACACACAGTCCACCGAATGGTAAGTGGATACTGTGAACCATAGACATTTAGGTACATCCATCCTTGGTTAAGAATCTAAATGTAGATGTGTTGTCATCCCTGAGGACAAAGATGGAATGCCTCATTTCCAGGAAAAAGGGTCTTCTGTTATTTAGACTAACTATACAAAACACAGCAGCATTGAAAACTGCTAATTTACGCTGATATTGTGTTAGATCTAATCTTTCCCCGGTCTAGTTTCAACCACTATATAGCTATCGCTTAGCTATATCAGGTAATTTGTCTGTTGATGTCTTTGTTTGCCCTATATAATATCAATTAGAACCCGCGTAAAAGAACACATAGCTGACGTGAAGCATCAACGTTCCGGGAAGTCTGCAGTTTGCGATCATATCCTAGATGGCCCCAACCATTACATCGGATTTGATAGACCACAAATTCTCGCGAAAGAACATCGATTCCTACCAAGGATGATACGTGAGGCTATTGAAATTAATAAACATCCTAATTTCAATAGAGAAGGAGGCTGGGTACTACCACCTGCTTGGTATCCTATAATTAATAAAATTAAAACTAAACCCAAGCATACCGCTGCAAGACTTCAAAATACAGTTAGTTCATTCTGCGTAGATCGGACCAAAGAGTAAAAGTAAAAAAGTAAGAGTAAAAGTAGTTTTAATCAATGTATAGTGTTCGCGTAATTATACGAAATCATTAGATAAATGTAGGTGTTGATGGGTCATAACATCCACTTACCATGACTGTGTGCTCGTTTGTCATACTTAGTTTATAAAAAAAGTTCGTATAGTGATGTAACGTAACGTGTGTGTGCGTGTGTGGTGCGTGCAGAGGCGCGAGCGCGGGCGCATGCGCGTGCACCAGCTAAACAACGTGAACGCGGCGCTGCGCGCGCTCGAGGCGGCCGGCGTGCGCCTCGTCAACATCAGCGGCGCGGACATCGTCGACGGCAACCCCAAGCTCATCCTCGGTAACAACCTTACTGCTTCACATACCGCATTTGAGCCTCGCGCATTTTATCTTGCTGCCGCCCATTTATATTCACAATTACCAACAACCAGAACTAAGCGAGACAGATTGCGTGAATTTTATTCACAAACTAGTGTAAACCTATTAAGCTACTGGTGTAGATATTACATACTTAACCAGAATAAATAAGTACAATTATTGAAAAGCTAAAAACTTAGTTGATTTTACATGAAATCAGGTAAAATTTTTAGTTAATATCTTATGTAATTTGAAAGATAATGTGTGTTCAGTTAATAAATTCTAGTCGAACAAACATACCTATTAAATGAAGAGAGATTATTATCTAGCGTACGTGAGGATAATATGGTCATCCGGTGTTTATAGTCACCTTCTTATAACTCAAAAACTACAGGCTTGTTTGCATAACGATGATGATGGAGATGGCTCTGTGATAAGATTACTCTTCACCAGTCAATCAAATAATAAAATGGTGTTTTGGTTTTTTTTTGGTTTTTTTGTTTAAAAATTTTTGGGTTTTACTCATTTTGTTGTTCCCCGGAAAAAATCTTGTTTTTTTTTGGTTTTTCAATAAAATTTAAAAAAGGCGCTGCTTTATCACGTCATTTTGACAGTTGACATTATAATAAATATGGTCATTAACTAATTTTTTTTCAAATTTAATTTTTGAAAGTATTCCTAATTATTCTTAAAGCTTATTTGCTATTTTTTTTTAAATATATTAGCTCTATTATACGACTTTTTGTTTTGGTCTCTGTCCTCGTAGTTTTGGTTCTATAGGGCGGTGAAGCTTAAGGTGATCATATTACTCTCATTTGCCTTATCAAATTTATAAATTTTAATAGAAAATGATAACAGTACAAGTCACCGTAACTCGTAGTCTGTCTTTTTCTGTCTGTCATTTTGTGTCTTCGGAGCAATATTTTGTATATTATGGGCACGTTTTTAGGTCTGGTGTGGAGTATAATCCTGCACTGGCAGGTGCACTACCATCTTAAGGATCTCATGTCGGAACTGCAGCAAACTAACCTGGAGAAGACACTATTGGCGTGGTGCCAAAAACATACGCAGGTACTACGGGCGTTTGTCATTGTTTTTTTTTTTTAATAGAAGAAGTCGGCAAACGAGCATGCGGCTGCTTTACCTGATGGTAGGCGAACACCGCCGTCACTCACATCTGCAACACCAGCAGGTTTGCAAGATAGTTGTCTGCTTGTTAGAAAGCCTTAGTTTCTTTCTAAGAAGATCGTTTAATTTCACGACATGGTCGTGTGTAGTAGTGGCACTAGTAAAACGCAAAGCGGCGGCTAACGATCAAGATGCTGAAGATTTTTGAAAGTGTCACTTGTGGCTGTACAAAATCCGTCATCGACACCGCTGCGTATGAGACGGTGCAGTGTGTGCGTGGTGCACGTGTGGTGCACGCGGGCTGCGGTGCAGTACAGTGGGTCGTTTTGCAGGAGTACGCGGGTGTGGAGGTGCGCAACTTCACGACGTCGTGGTCGGACGGGCTGGCGTTTAACGCGTTGCTGCACGGCTGGCGGCCGCAGCTGTTCGACTTCGCTGCCGTGCGCCGCGCGCCGCCCGCGCAGCGCCTGGAGCACGCTTTCGCGCTCGCACACGCGCACCTCGCCATTGATCGCCTGCTCGACCCGGAAGGTGAGCTATTCACTCCCCTCGCCCCATCACCCCCTAGCATCCCTCAACACACTCGCACCTTGCCATCGACCGCCTGCTCGAGCCGGAAGGTGAGCTGCCGAGCCCGCCTTCTCTCCCCAAACCCCTAGTACCACTTAACTAAAATAGAAATATTTTATAAGATAAATGAACATTAATGTTTATCTTCAGTCCGAAGAACGCCTCATTATTAGAAACCATCCAGACAAAGCCAAATTTCTTGTACAGTCTTTTCAAATATTTCTCATTAATAGAAAGTTCCCAATTAAGCTAATAATATAACGTTATAACGATATATTGTTATTAGCGGCTTTTCGTTATTAGTACTGTACATGTTGACGGTACGGGCTCTATGAGTCGCCATATCTGATCCCATTCTTTGTCCGTACGGGACTTGTAGACCACCCATTGTCTTAAATATTTGATTGATGATAATACATTAATTTAATAAATTTATCCCAGTATCCTGATTAGGTGCAACAGGAACTATAATATAGCTGCAGCGTCTCTACAACGTAAAAATCTATCGAAAAACGGTAATGAACTATCTATTTTTTTTTATATATATATATATATATGGTTGTATGATGTATGTATGTATGTATGTATACAACGTGTTCCAAAATTCAACGATAAGCCAACATCGGAGGATAGACCTGCCCCGGACTAATCGGGGAAAAAAAGAAAAAAAAATATATCCCAATTATATTTTAAGTTATATAAAAAAAATGAATTTCTTCAGAAATTGAGACCGTTTATGATATTTTTCACTACCATGACCACAATTTTTTTTTAATATTTTTTTCTTTTTTTTTTATAGGCAACCTGAATAGCGCTGCTATCTACCACAATTCTTAAAAAATCCAGAATAACTCTTTGTTTTATCACGAAAATTAATGAAACTTATTTTATTCCCTAATTTTTTTGAAGACTTTTACTTTTAACCAACTTTAACTTATCGTGGTGTAAAAAAAAGTACGAACACTAGTATGGCAAGGTTTTTTAAAAATTGACGCAACTAACCAACATTCCAAAATGGTATAATACTCTAGGAAAACAAGTTATAAAAAATGTGGGCCTATTATTTCTAAACGGGGGCCAAATTCCTTAAATTGTAATTGTCAGTAATCACTTTTACTACATGCCCAAAATGGGTTCCTGTTACAATTTCTAGGAATTTGAATGGGGCATTAATACCTTCGATGTTAGAGAGAGATAGATAGATAGAGATATTTAAGTTAAAAAGAGACAACAACAGGGCAGGTAGAGAAGCTGTTATTATTCTCAGCAAGTCAGTTCAGTACGCTCTGCTCCTTTGTTTACTGCGCACTGTTCCCAATTCAACTTACGTGGCTCTCGTACATACTATCGACTTTTGGCTTGGCTTTTTGGACTGGAATCGTCCTGCAAACTTAACTGACCTGGCATTATTTGGACTGGAAGTGATCTGCAAACTGAACTGACCTGGCATTATCTTGGACAACGATTGTGTGTTTTGTGATTTAGAGTTCTGGCGCATTTTGGACTGTTTGGCGTTTAACATGCCGCAACCGTACACACCACAGGAATACGCTAATATGCATTTAATCTATGGAGAATGTTCCGATGTAATGCTAACGCTGCTAGCAGACTGTATCGAGAAAGATACCCAAATGCTCAAAAATATCCTGATTATCCAGTGTTTATTAATGTGCATCAAGCGTTTTCGGAGGGTCGTATGCCATCCAATAGGAGAAGCGCTGGAAGACCTACATTGAATCGTGATGAAGAAGTTCTCAATGAGATAGAAAATGACTCGACTACTTCGGTACGTGCCATAGAAGAAGCTACAGGAATCCCGAAAAGTTCTGCGCATCGAATATTAAAACGTCACAAGCTTCACCCATATCACTACAGGCGTGTGCAGTTGTTATTACCGCGGGACTGTCCGCTACGAGTCACATTTTGCCGTCTAATGCTGCAAAGGCACAGTAAAGATCCCCACTTCCTGGACAAAATTCTATGGTCGGATGAAACAACGTGCACGAAAGATGGGTATTTAAATCTTCACAACCAACATAGTTGGATTAATGAAAATCCACACTTGATGAGACAAGACAAATCCCAATATCAATTCAAGGTTAACCTATGGACCGGCATATTAAATGGAAAAGTAATTGGGCCCTTTGAGTTACAAGGAAACTTAGGTGGCAATAGTTATTTAAAATTTTTACAAAAGCAATCTTGCAAGTAGAATTGTGAAACGACGTGCCCTTAAGTGATCTTCAAAACATGTGGTTCCAAAATGATGGTTGCCCAGCACATTATGCCCGTCCTGTGCGAAAATATTTATATCAAGAGTATCCAGGGCGTTGGATCGGGCGACTTGATCCTATCTTATGGCCACCCCGTTCACCCGATTTGAACCCCCTGGACTTCTTCTATTGGGGTTGTCTTAAAAACAGGGTCTACTCAAAACCCATTGCGACATTGGACGAGCTTCTTCGAAATATCACTCAGGATGCTGATTACATTAATAGCAGAAGATATGCAAGACAAATAAAACAATCATTTTTAAGGCGATGTCGTGCATGTATTAATGCTGGTGGCAAACAGTTCGAACTTTTGCTATAATGCACGTGAAACTGTTTGTACCATTTGTTTTGAAATATTAAAATTTTTCAAGAACTAATACGTTTATTACACCCGACCGTCATTTGGCCCCTGTTAAGAAATAATAGGCCCATATTTTTTTATAACTTGTTTTCATACATACATACATAAACACTCACGCCTGTCACCCAGAGGGGTAGGCAGAGACTACAGACTTCCATTTAGCACGATCCTGACATACCTTTCTCGCCTCTTCCACATCCATATACCTACGCATACATGCTCGTCGGTTAAGGGTACTCTTAATTTGGCCCATTTTTCGCCAAATCAATCGCCAATTTGGTCGACAAACTTCCGCCTAGGACGTCCCTTTCCTACTCTTCCATTCACTTCTGCAACATATATTTGCTTTGTCAGTCTTTCCGCATTCATTCTTTCTACATGACCAAACCACCGAAGCATTCCTTTCTTAATCCTGGTCACCGCATCATCTTGCAAACCACACTCTTCTTTTATCACACAGTTTCTCACCCTGTCACTCAGATTCAGCCCTAACATACTCCTTAGCGACCGCATTTCTACTGCATTTATTCTACTCTCGTGCTTCTTCTGCCACACCCAACTTTCACTACCATACGTTAAAGTAGGGACTAATACAGCACTGTGAATTGCCATTCGTGCCTTTTTTGACACATTCTGACTTTTCACAATAGAGTGTAGAGCCCCATTTACTTTATTTCCTGCATTTACTCGTCGTTCAATGTCCTTATCATATCTCCCATCCCTGCTGAATACACATCCCAAATATACGAACTCATCCACTTGCTCAATTAACTCTCCTTCTATTCTTATTTCACATACCGTTTTGCTTTCTTCTCTTTCAAAAACCATCACTTTCGTCTTACTTGCGTTCACTTTCATTCCCCTTTCTTTTAATGACCTGTTCATTAATGTAACCATCATTTGCAACTCGGCCGCCGACGACGCAAGTATGACTTGATCATCGGCGTTCAAAAGGCATTTGATGGTTAACTCACCCATTCTTAACCCGCATTCTTCAACTTTCAAATTTTCCAAACAGCTGTCCATAAATAGGTTGAACAGCCACGGGGAAGCTACACAGCCCTGTCTGACACCTTTATGGATGCCAAACCAGTCCGAGTAGACCCCGTTGATTCTAACACAAGCACTCGAGTCCCTATACAGAGACTTTAATGCCTGTATCAAACCAGCGCTCAACCTAAATGCGTTCAGCGTTTGCCATAACACATCCCTGTCCACTCTGTCATAAGCCTTTTCCAAGTCCATGAATGCTCAAAAAACTTTTTGGTTTTTCGCCAAAAACTTCTCCGCGATCATGCGCATGGAAAAGACTTGATCTGTACACCCCATTCCCTTTCTAAATCCCGCTTGCACATCCCAAATTTTTTCATCAGTTTCTTTCATAACTCTTTCAATTAGTACCTTAGCATACAGTTTTCCCACAATGCTAAGAAGGCTGTTACCACGGTAGTTTTTACAGTCCTGCTGTGACACTTTTCCCTTATATATTGGGACTATCCTGCTTTTTTTTTTTTTTTTTTTTTTTTTTTAATTCTCCTCACTCATAAATTCGCTTTCAAAATATTCCTTCCATCTCTTTAGACTCAACACTTCATCATTCAGGATACAGCCATTCTCGTCTCGTATCGCATTCAATCTAGGCTGTTTTGAAAGTCCCCTGGTATTTCTTACGAGTTTCCAGAACATTTTAATATTTGCCTGGAAGTTATCCGATATTTTTCTATCATTCTTATCCGTTCTTTCTTGCTTTTTCTTTTCAACTAATTCTTTTACTTTCTTATTTAAACGTTTAAACTCTGCCTTTTTTGATTAAAACTACTTTTACGGATTTTATCGCGTTTATTTTTACTTTTTATTTTTAATTCCCGACGTTTCGGGCGCTTTTCAGCACCCATGGTCACGGGGGACTGAGATGACTGACGTCCCGATGTCATTGTTAAACCCGGAGTACCTTCAGCTTTTTTAATTATTGTTTATGGTCCGATCTATGCAAAAATTTTGCAAAAATTTTTGCATAGATCGGACAATAAATAAAAAACGTCGTTGACGTTATCTTGTTTACGTAGACAACGTTATTGTGTCGTCATTCATCGTTTCGTTGCGGCCGTCACATAGCGCTACCGCAAACCAAGACTTCACTCTGCCGCCTCCTGTTGCAGACGTGAACACGGCCAACCCCGACAAGAAGTCCATCATGATGTACGTCATGTGCTTGTTCCAGTCTCTGTCAAACGCGCGCGACGACCCCGATCCCGCCGCGGAGGTATGCGACGCAATTGTTTTCCAATAACAGTTTACAGCTAATACGAATGTTGAGAATAATTTAAAGTAAATGCCAGTCAGATGAAATCAATTAATTCTATTGAAGCATTTTTCTGTGTATTTTTTAAAGGAGTGGCAGCAAACGGCGCGCGGCTCGCCTGATGCTCAGTGATCACCGCCGTGCATGAACAGCTGCAACATGAGGCAGATTGCAGATGCGTTGCCTTTAATTTTCTTTTGTTGAATTGAATAGAATTGAATTATGGAATCAAAATCTATCAACAGTTCAAAAATTAAAACTACTTACTTTACGGAAGAACTAACCAAAGTTATATTTACAAAAAAAGAAATGGTTGATCCTGCAAGCCATCCCTGGAACTTCCCGCTAATTTCAATATTAAGGACCTCCAAAAACAAAATGTTCGGATCGTCGACCAAGTCTAAAAAGTTATATGTGTAGTTAGTTATTTTGAATTTCTGTATTAGGGCGTTACCCAAAATGCAACCCAAGCACAAGATACACATGTACTATCTATAGGGCCGATCCACACAACTGCATTACAGCTTTTATAAGGAAATCCTAAAAAATATACAAAATTTGACTTTAGCCATGTTGAAAAACTTTATGAAATAAAGATACCTAGTATAAATTAAAAAAGGTCATTATATATCAAGGAGTTTATGAATGATTCTTCTAATTTGTCTTGTGTTGGTAGTTATTGTGTAACTTTAATGATTGTAAACTGTTCTTTTTTTTTCAAAATAGTCGTGTTAGTTTTTTTTGGTTCATTCCAGTACAGAGGTGTTTTCTAAAGCAGTGGTAAATTAAACATAATGATGACTTTATGTAATAAAATATGTATAAAAGTTTCTGTTTCTGTTTTCTATGGACTCATAAAATTTGAAATAAAGTTATTATTATTGTGCGTTCGGAAGGTGTGTGTGAGTGCGTGTGTGCGTGCGCGCAGTAAGTGTTGTGTGTGGGCACAGAGCGCGCCGGCGTCGCGGCCGCTGTCGTCGGCCACGACCCTGTCGGAGCTAGGCGGCTACGGCGCCGCGCTGGAGGAGGCGCTCGCCTGGCTGCTGGAGGCCGAGGAGCGCCTCGCCGCGCAGCCGGACCCCGCGGGCGCCGACACCAGCCCGCCGGACCAAGATCTCGCCGCGCTCAAGCACCATTTCCACGCGCACGAGGTACTCACCTACACTCGCCTGAACGCTGTCTGCCACTGGTGAAGCCTGACATCTTCAGGAGCTAAAAAATTAAAAATCTTTCTTATTCAGTTTCTTTCTTTCTATACTTAAAAACGTTACCCTAGAATTGTCTCTCGTATCGTAAAGGTTTAGACACATAAATTTTAAAAATTAGTAAGCAAATGGTGTCTATGATTCTTGAGTACCTTCTTCCAACTATAACACACATTATAAATTATTCTCTGGACTCAGGTCAATACCCTTCTGCGTGGAAAAAGGCTTTTGTAACACTTATTCCTAAAATACCTAATCCTGTTTTCCCTAACCATTTTCGTCCTATTTCAATTCTCCCATACCTCTCTAAAGTTCTGGAAGTCTGTGTTTTTAAGCGAATATCTGTATTCGCTGCAAAACATAACCTGCTGAATGAATTTAAATCGGGGTTTCGCTCTGGTCACAGTACTACTACTTCACTTATCAAAATCACAGACGATATAAGAAAGGGCTTAGATGAGCAAAAATTAACAGTGGTGGTGCTTATTGACTTTTCAAACGCTTTTAACACAGTGGATCATGGTATCCTCCTATCCATCCTTAAACACCTTAAATTTTCATCCCCAGCCTTGATATGGTTTTCTTATATTCGCGGTCGCCAGCAATCGGTTCGCTCAGGTCAGCGGTATCTGCATGGGCTGAAATTGAATCTGGTGTGCCGCAAGGCGGAATACTTTCTCCTATTATGTTTTCCTTATTTATAAATTCTATCTCCTCAGTTTTAGATTGTTCGTACCATCTGTATGCGGATGATCTCCAGCTCTATGTACAGCCAAGCTTAAATAATCTTAACTTTGTAATACACAAACTAAATGATAACCTGGAAGCCATAAGAGAATGGTCATGTAAATATGGCGTTTCTGTTAATCCTGCCAAATGCAAAGTTATAATATTCGGAAGTTCGCAATTATTGGCTAAGGTTGATTATGGAAATCTCTCTCCTGTAATTTATAATGGAAGTTTGATTCCATATTGTGATTCCATAAAAAAAATCTGGCCTGTACATGGATAAAACTATGACCTGGAAATTGCAGATCTCTGAAGTTAGTCGTAAAGTTGTTGCTACCTTGCGTTCCCTTTATCGTCTTAAAAATTTCCTACCTTTCAAAACCAAACTTACGCTGGTTCATTCCCTCATTCTACCTATTATCGACTATGCCGACGTATGTTACCCAGATTTGTCAGAAAATCTTCTAAACAAGTTGGAGCGCCTTCTTAATAATTCCATAAGGTTTATTTTTGGTTTACGTAAGTATGACCACATATCATCCTATCGTTCAAAGCTTAAATGGCTACCTATACGTCAAAGGCGATGCTCTCGAATTTTAACTGTACTTTTTTCAATTTTAAATGATTCAAGGTCGCCTTCTTATCTTAAGGATAATTTTCATTTTTTTCATCCGATCGACGGCCGACCATCCCGACAGTCAAACCGTCTGAGGTTAAGGTTTCCACAGCATAAGTCAATTTTTTTAGGTCGTTTTTTTACGATACAAGCTATACAACTTTGGAACACCCTTCTCAATGATATGAAGAATGCCACAAATAAAAGAACATTACCTGAAGGAAACTACAAATTAACATTATTTTTCCTTAATTTTTGTCTTTCTTTTCTTCTTTTTTACTTCAAATATTTATTTCATTATATATTATTCAAACATTATATTATATATATCATTCACTTGGATATTTATTTACGAAGTTTATAAGCATGCATATATATATATATATATATATATATATTTATCATATCCAGACCATTACAATTATTTAATATTTAGCAGCAGCCATACAAGCACTTGTTCGGCGCCGGATTCGACCCCGCATCCCAGAGTGCCGCAACTCATTCCGAAGCCGCTGATCCACAGAACGAACAAAGTTTACTTTTCTTTTTAATTTCGTTAAAATAATTTTGAGCAATTCATAATGATTTCACACTTTACGACTTTCCCTTTCAGCGGTTCCTGCTGGAGCTTTCGGAACAACAGTGCCGGATAGGCGGCGTGCTAGAAGAAGGAGCGAGGCTCGTGCGCGACGCTGCACTCTCTCGAGACGAGGTGAATGAGGTGAGCAATTCCTTACTTGCTTATTGGATTTATTTGTAACCTTAGACTGAACTTGTTTGTACTTGATTACTCTAAGGGTCCAAGGGGTAGTCCTCACGGGTGACAACGCATCTGCATTTTGATTCGTAGTCAAGGATAGACGTAGATGTCTATAGGCCACAGCAACTACTTACCATCAGGCGGACTGTGTGCTCGCTTGTCACTCTATCCTATTAAAAAAAAAGTCGAACCGTAATAGCATACATAAAGAATCAGAATGGAACTAGATCGCCGCAACTGACAGAGCTGGTCTCTCAGTTACTGATAATGGCCAATAGGTTACATGCGGAAATCTGTCCCCAATATATACCGGGATATACAACAATGTGGCCGACAGCCTGTCTCGGCAGATCAACGAAAGTTTGCGGTCACATTTTTCAGAAGTGGGGCTTTCCCGACGTGTTCCTGTTTGCATCGAGCAATTCAAAGGTAGTCCCGGTTTATGTATCTCTGGATGCAAAGGAGAAAGAAGCTTTATTCATAGATGCTAACAGCAAGAGATGGGTGTTCAAGTTACCACGGATTTTTCCACCACTGTCCCTAATTCCTCGAGTGCTAGTCCATCTGAACCAAGCCAAGGAAAAAGGTATTTCGGAGGTCGGATCTACGATCACGTGCTAGACCACCCATTTCAAATCTGAAACCTCCACCATCACCTGGAAGATCTAGCACCCAAAATAACCCGAAACCTGTGTTTGGAGGCTTGGGAAGTACGGAGTGGTCGATTCAGAAGAAGACTGTCACCTAATACAAAAAGCACGGCGTGATTCATCGCTTAAAACATATCGAGCACCATGGAAATATGTACTCAGTAGCACAACACTTGAGTTTTTTATACAGAGAAAACAAGTTATCACCTAGCACTATAAAACTACATAAATCCGTCATTGCTACTTTTGCTGACCATTCAATAGGGATTCTATTACAGACAGCTCGGTAGTTCAACAAATTATCAAAGCCCTTGAATTATCAAAGCCACCTACACTTAACAAGCAAATTTAGGATGTTAAGCTACTGATTAAATGGTTAGAGAACATTGAAATACAGGAAGATGATATTTTTCAAGTCTCGAGACATCTGGCTGTATTATTATTGCTGGCATCTGGAGAAGGATCCACGACCTCACTTTACTTAATATTGATGAAAATAGCGTGTAAGTAGATGAGTCTTCTGTTACATTTTGGCCGGAATTTGGGTTAAAACCGATCGCCGTTCACACAGACGATCCGCTTGGAAGCTTTTACAAGCCCCAAACGAGAAACTTGATCTAGTCCGCTGGGTAAAGGTTCATTTAGCCGTTTCAGATTCGAGAAGAAACGCGGGCGGAAAAAAGATAAATTCTTTGTTTATTAACTCTAGAGGTCAAGTAGCAGCTGCATCTAAAGCAGTTATAGCTGGATGGATAAAAACTGCTTTTTCAGAATTAAACATAAATTTTTCACCGGGAAGCATAAGGTCTGTTGTTGCTTCTTCTAGAAAGAAGAATGACGTTCTAATAGATATAATACTAAGAACTGGTAACTGGAAAAGCGAAAGAAATGTAGTAAGACATTATTTTAAATATTTAATCAGTATTCCTTCCAAAGATGATTCTAATGACTTTAGTTTTGTCAATAGTAGCTTTACTACAGTATGATAATTTTTGTTTAATTAAAATTACTTGTTTGGTTGATTGTTTGCTTGATTTTTATATTTTGATATATAAACACTTAGTTTTTATTTATGTTTTTCTGTTTATTTTAAAATACAAGCACTTACTGGTATTTTAAATATTTTCACAGTACGCTATCCCCGTGTCGTCAGAATCTAAAGATTTCTCACAGGACAAGCTAACGGCACAGACCATGAAATAGCAAGCGTTTTACCCCCATAGGTTTAAAAACGATATATTTCATGTCTTGCCTAGGCTTGACCTTTAAAAACGTGTTGATTTTTTTTTTCATTTTATTAATTGAGTTTATTTTATTTTTCTTGAACGGTTTTTGGTGGCATTAATAATTTGCATTCTGTGAACTGTAAATGGTTTGGTTGTTTGTGTTGCAGGTGCGCCTGCAAATGCGGCTGCTGAACGAGCGCTGGGAGCAGCTGCGGCGCGGTGCAATGCAGAGGCAGGCCAGCGTGCACGGCGCGCTAATGCAGGCGCAGCACCACCACCTGCAGCGATTCCGGTGACGTATTGCATCCACACGCACACACACACACACACACACACACACACACACACACACACACACACAAACCACACACGCACGCACGCACGCACACACACACACACACACACACACACACACACACACACACACACATACACACGCACACGTACACGCACGCACGCACGCACGCTCGCACGCACGCACGCACGTACGCACGCACGCACGTACACACGCACACACGCACACACGCACAGACGCACAGACGCATAGACACACACACACACACACACACACAAATGCATATACATTACATTTATTATTTATATGTGCCGTCGGTGCAGGCAGTGGCTGACGGAGACCGAGGACCGCATGTCGCGCATGGAGGCGGAGGGCGGGCAGGGGCAGGGGGAGGGGCAGGAGGAGGACGCGGAGGGCGCCCTGGCGGCGGTGTGCGCGCTGCACGACGACTTGCGCCGCCAGCAGCCGCTCGTCGACGCGCTCGCCGACTGCGTGGTCGTCGTCGATGACGACGCACACGACGACGGTATGCTTTTTATATTTACTTACCTGCCATGATGCGGCGGATGTAGGTTGCATTATCCAGTGTATAGTATACCGCTTAGCAAGGGGAAGGATTTCCAAATGATTTGAATTCACTGATTAGCATTTTAGTTATAATGAACATAATTGATAGGGCTGGTCTTCATATATTTTCGTTCTTTGGGACCAGTAGTTGAATTTCAATCGTAAAAAAAACATTTTTTCTAATATTGTATGTTAACCTGACTTTCCAGAGGACTATTAAAAAGGAATATTTGAAATGACATTAAATTATAGCTCATTTAGTCAATCTGATTATAATTATCTGTTGGTAATATTTTAATTGTTGAGAGACAAACTTAATAACTGTTTTTATTCTAAAAGCAACTTTGTTGTAATGTTTGATGTGTCTCATGTTGGCGGTATGAAAGTATACATTGAATGTCTCATTTTATTTAGTTTAATGTATTTATTACACGTGTTATACATATGTTTATACATTTAAGCTTACTGTTCTCCTTCATACCGGGTGTTTGTGAAACGCTCCCGAAAATATCATGATGGAACAGAAAGAAAACCAATCCCGATGAAAAAGTAATCATCTTTTCATATAGTTTTATTACACATAGTTTTATTAGCTTTATTCACGTTCCATCGTGTTAGTACAGCTAAATGAAACGACAATTTCATAAAAAAGTCATGAAAATACTGAAACATAAAACCAGCAGTGAAACCTAAAATAAATCCAGCTGACAAAAATTACATGATAAAGTAACTAACATATGACATAAATTTAATTTACATACTAAGTATCAATTAAACAATTGATATTATTTCAAAAATCAAACTAATGTAATTATACTCATTTATTATAAGTTTGCTCACACTTACCCAATATAAGGGTAAGAACATTTATTTATAGATAAATAACAAACTTATAAAATGATATTAGCTATAATTTGCATAACTAACGTAAGCGTTTGGGATTATTTAGTACGGATATGCATTTAGGCAAGTTGTGCCTTCACGGTCACTGGGGTCACTCGTCAGCCGCGCAGGCTGTCAGCACCCCCACTTGTCTCCGCACGCGAAGTACATTAAAGTCATTAATCGCGCGGACGCTGATCTCTTTTATCTAGCTCGGTACATGCAATGCGTTAGGTATTACTGTACTTACACTCACTCTACTCTTCCCTTTACACTCACTGTCGCCGTCCGGCCGACTCGTGTCGCATCTCGTACTGTGCATGTTCAGCTTTGCCAACACGTGGGGAATTCCCCAAATTACGGGGAATTTAAGGTTGGTGAGGGATTTTTTGGGGATTGGTATTATGCGGGGATTTTCAAAATCGATAGCCCGAGCCAAACCAGAACCTTTTTTCAAGAAATCTAAATATTTATCTTAAAATTTTTGTTACGTTACTTATGAGTATGGAATGACTCCCTTTTTTAATTATCTTCATTGCACCACATTTAATTTTCGGATTTATTTCGGCAACTTTTGTGTATCATTAAATGCCTTGCATTTCTTTATTTTTTAATTTTAAAGCAGAGAACTACATGCGTTAAAATGCAGATACTGTGGTACATTAAATTGGAAACAAGGGAACAAATTTAAATACTCCATGGAGTAAAATGTTTGTTACTAAGTTTTGTAATTTTTTAATATATAAGTTAATATGGAATGTGAAAAAAAATTCGGTAAAAAAATTAGTTACCAAAAACCTTATAAAATTACTTGAAAATCGTTTCATTTCTTAAAATAAAAAGGATAAGGGGAATTTGTGACATATACAAAGTTCAAAAACTTTATTAAACTGAGTTTGTATAAAACGGGTTTTTATTATATTATTAAGGAATTTATGGATGATAATAAGCCCGGGGAAGGGTGATCGCTACCAAACTATTTCTAATTTGTTTTATGTTCTTAATTGTAACATACATGATTGTAACCTCTTATTTAAAAAAAATAGTCCCGCTGCGTTTCTTGCTGGTTCTTCCCAGGACAGAGTTTTTTTTTGCGAACCAGTGGTAATGAAAAAAAGTAACTTTCGGTAAGTATTGTTTGTAATCCATTTTGAATAAAAAAGTTTCTGTTTCTGTTTCTATGGATTTTAAGTTAAATGGAAGTTCGGTATGTTGTTTTAATATTATTGCAAGCCATAATTAATGACACTAGCGCCATCTAGTATCGAGTAGCAGAACAAGGAGAGCTTTCTAGAAAATGCTATGGTAGAACTTTCCCACTAGCGCCATCTAGTATCGAGTGGCAGAATTAGGAGAGAACTTTCTACACTTTGTCGATTGGAGCCGGTGTGTGCTCGAGCATTGTAGAAGTCTCAGCGGAAAAGACCAATATAAGGCCAATGAAGACCGCGACCGGGTCAGTATTAAATTGGCAATTCAAGCGAATACTTCGAAGCCATATAACTGAGAACTAAAGTGTTAAGTGTGATTAATTATTAGTGTGTTTTAAGTTGTAATTGATGTTTGGTAATTAAAATGTCATTTTTGATAATTCAATCGGCAATTTTTATTGCCACGAACCCCAAGCTTGTAACAAAATGATGTTCAGAATAAACAACTGACGGACAGTTAGTACACTACATGCCAAGTAAAGTTGATGTGTAGGAAACATGAATGGACGGAAAGTGGCTACCTTTAGATCTGCTCTCTGAGCACGTTCTAATGGGAGCAATATTGTTTTAGAAGCACCACCCCAGGAAGTAATGCCATAAGTAAGTATGGATTGACACAAAGCCAAATAGACCAGTCTTATCAATTTAATGTCAGCGATGTTACGGAGATATTTAAAAATATGTATTAGTTTACGAACTCTAGCACAAAGTAAATCAATGTGCTTGCGGAAATTTATATTTTATATTGTCCGTTTTTATTATTGCGGGACATGCACTTGCAGTGTCATCATACGAGCTACATTTATAAGCGTAAATATTTAGGTGAGTAGGTGTGTTATTGTTTTTCATTAAAAATAACATATATTGTGTTTTAACTGCGTTTAAAATTAGGAGATTGTTAAGAAGCCAATTAGATACTATGATTAAGCCTTGCTGAGCGTATTTATAAAGTGATTTAGCTGAGAACAATAGGGCTGTGTCATCCGCTTACGACGTTATGACACCATTATTAGGCATTTATATAAATTAGGAATAATGTAGACCCCAGGATACTGCCTTGTGGGATTCCATAAGAGGTGTTTTGTAATTCAGTACTTGTTTTCTCACCGGTTTTTACACATTGAGAGCGATCACAAAGGAAATTGGTAAAACGTTGTAGTTGAGTTCCCTTATGCCAAGTGTTTCAAGCTTTTGTAATAGTATTGGGCAAGTGATAGTATTAAATGCTTTGTCAAGGTTTAAAAAGATCCCAATTGAGTGCATATCACTATCAAGATTACTTGTAACATAATGTGTCAATTAATGCAAGGCGTCATTACATGATCACTTAGGCCTAAAATCAAATTGTCTGTCTGACAGCAAATTGTCGGTTTCCAGGTATTTTATTAACCTGGTATTTATGATTTTTTCTAATATTTTAGATAAACCAGATAAAACTGAAATCGAAACTAGCTACTAAGTTTTTATCGCCAACGCCATAAGAGAAAAGACAGCATAAGAGAAGAGAAACCACAGCATTTTAAGCACTTTCGGAAAATACCCTTAGATAGGCATTAAAAGATATGTGTTAATGGGGCAGCCAGTAAATGTTTAAATCTTTTGAGTATGCTGTTAGGTATATTGTCCCATCCAACTGCACAATATTCTTTTATATCATCAATCATCAATAATCATAAAAAATCTATCAATTTAACAATACAATATAATTTAACTTAGAAAAGGATGTGGGTATAAAAATTGGATTTCGAATGTTGCTTAATTTTAAAGTATTTTCTGCTAGTTTTTTGCCAACATTAATAAAAAAATATTTACTTTATTAATTGCTTCCTTTAGGCTTTTGTCTAATGACAGTAGTTCAAGTGGGGTTCCAAGGGTTTGGAACTGTAGGTATTATTTTTAATGAACTTCCATACATGTTTACTGTTTTTACCGGCCTTCTGTAAAACATTTTTATCATATTTAATTTTAGTTTTTTAATAGTTTACTGCAATAATTTCTATATCTTTTATAAGTAGCAGAGCGTTTTAAATTACCAGGAGAATATTTTGATTGTAAATAAAGTTTGTCTCTATTTCTTATACAGCAAACGAGACCAGGTGTTATGCAAGGTTTAATATTATAATACTTACGTGACAGTTTTACTGTTTTTTTATAGGATAGAGTGACTAACTAGCACACAGTCCACCTGATGGTAAGTGGTTGCTGCGGCCCATAGATCTACATCTATCCTCGATTACAAATCAAAATGCAGATGCATTTTCTCTACACTCACTATAAGAAACACAGCAGCATTAAGCTACTATTTTACGCTGGTATTCTGTGTGAGCGTGGTCCTTCCCCGGTCGAGCTGACCCATTTGTGCTACAACTATACTACTAATATAACTGCTGCATGGCTCTACCACGTAACAAAAAGTTGATGAATTATTCTTTGTTCGTATTGTAAAGAATTTATAAAGTAACTCAAGGACGTATTTGCAACGTCAGAGCGATAAACAAAGTCAAAATTAATGCTACGAATGTCAACAAAAAAATAGATGTAAATGTGTGTGTGCAGGCGTGGCGGAGATCGAGGATCAGCTGCGCGCGCTGGGCGAGCGCTGGTCGCACGCGTGCCGCTGGACGCTAGCGCGCCGCGCCCGCCTCGCGCGCCGCGCAGCACTCGCCGCGCGCCGCGCCGCCGCCGACATGCTCGAGCGCGCGCTCAAGCAGGTGCGCGGTGCACTACACACATTGCGCTCACCTCACCGACCGAACCGCTTTGAACCGCTCTGCGCTGGATGCCATCCACCGCATTCGCCATACACCATATACGACGCAGTGGTGTTGGGCAAAGTGTATCATTTTTGCGATTAGAACATTTGCATCTCGATCACTGACATGTTCCGAAACACTGATTTGTTTCGTTTGGCTCATTTGGATCATCGAATCAAAGGATATAAATACAGAACAACTCTTATTAGTTTGTGATACAGAATGTTAACATTAAGTTGCGCCGCGGGCGTTTATTACTGATTCAGTGAAATGTTATGTGGCAACAATGCTGAATGTTATTTTTATTATATATTATATAGTTATTTTTATTGTTATTTACTGTGTACCGTAATAAGGTTGTATATAAAATCGATCTTCCTTCATACTTTATCCAGGATTAGGACTGGCGGCTAGTCCTTAATTTATGGCCAGTTGGCGTATTATTTATGATGAAAAGGAAGAAAGTAAGTCACAATAATCACTACGCAACAAAATCCTAAACAGAACTCAGTATGTTCTCGTAAACAGGCGCAAACGAACATAAACAATTTGACAAGTGACAGTCAACGTAAAATGACAACTTCTTAATGCAAACACTATATGAAAAAATTACGACCGTATAGTATTTGATACGTAAGCGCTTTAGTGGTCATTTTTAAGTACATAAATATCTGAAGCGAAAATCCGTACGAGTTGAATGATACACTTCTCATTTGTTATCTCTTTCTGACTTGTATAGATTGCAATTATTTCGCCCGCTCACTCGCCACTCGCTCTCGGTTCAATCGCCTTGTGAGCGAGACGCGTCGCGCTAAATGAGCACAGAGCAAAGTAATGTTCCAGATCCAAATGATGCATTTGAAATGTTGTTACTGAACCAATCTTTTGAATCACTTCAGTGATTCGGATCAGGGAGTCGTTCCGTAAAGAATTACACACTCCTAACATGCAGTGCACCGCGCTCGCACTGCACCACACTTGCCATACACCACATAAGCTGTACACCACGCACGTACTGCCCCACTCACCACATTATACGGGTAAGGTTTACAATTCGGTCGCCTGAATTAGGGGTTGGGGGGTGGTGTGGGGGGAGGGGGAGGAGTGGACGTCACCCCCTACTTCCCCTTTCTGCCGGACGTGCTTAGATTTTTTTTATAAATTTTTAAAAATCTTATTTTGAGGTTATGTTTCGTAATTTTTATGACAATTTTAACCTGATTTATGGGGAGAGACAGTTGGGGGACGGAAGCCCCACGCCACTTAACGTGGTGTGGTCGAGGGAAGCCCGGTCGACGGACGGGCTCCTACTTCTGAGTGGTTTACAAAAAATAGCCACGAAGAGGATGACGGGGTCTATTCGCTCGCTTCGCTCGCTCTCTCGACCCCGTCATCCTCTTCTAACCTAACCTGTCCGAGACGGGGTCCTCCACGTCTCAGGCTCGCTTCGCTCGCTATTGCACTCGATATAACACCAAAATATTAACTTTTATAACTACTTTAATTAATAAACATAATTTATGGCTGCCACCATTTGTAAGAAAGGATCTTTGCGATATTTAGCAGTATTCCGCCGCCACAAATATTTCACTATTCACCAAAATTCTGAAACTCGGAAGCAACGGCGTGACGAAAAGCTGTCAACAAAATGGCCGGCCTAGCGATTAATTTTACATATTTTTAAATCGATTCAAATCGAAATTGGATGAATCGATTCACAAAAAATCGAAATTTTAAAGATCGATTTTGATACAATAAAGTACAGATAACATTGAATGATTGAATTAAAAACTGTCATTCTATACGAGTTGGGGTACATTCAACTCATTGTAAATAATTTTACAAATCTTAATAAAACAGAAAAAGATTCGATCTCTATTCTCTAGGATGAAATATCGATTCACTAGATCGATTCAGTACTATATATCGATATGACATTGACAGATGAAAAGTTAAAAACGTAATTAATTAGTCATTTACCAATATTTTTATAAAATAATTAAAAATACTTCGACGCTGCTCCGCCAGAAAAAATCGAGTGGGGGTGCTTCAGACCTGTAAACCCCCTTGACTCCCCCACAGTGACAGAATATTCAAATACAGGCGACCGAATTGTAAACCCAACTTCATTACACTTTTCACGAAAAAAAGAAATACCAATATAAAATAGCGGCTTAAGGCCGAATACGAAGAGAACTGGCGAAAATTAATGTATTTCTCTTGACTAGAACTTTGACCTGAAGTAATTCTAAGCTTTAAAACATTTTTGTAGGTTTGTTCGGGTCCATCACAATGTCACTGTCATTTTAAAATTTTAAAATAAATGAATATACCAACAAATAAAAGAATGTTAAGAAATGATATATAAAATTATTGTTCTTCCAAAACTCTGTGAATTTTAATTTAGGAAAAATTCTTTTACGTAAAAATGTTTCTATTGTGATTCCGAAGGTACCTGCTATCTTTATTTTCGATACAAAATATTATTTATTAACATAATTCGTTTTAATTAAAAACACCTAATAATAATATCGTATATTGCCAGATAAAAGTTTGCCGTAATAAATTACCAGGCGCTTCGACGTGTGACGTAAGGTAACAACAGTCGATGTGTCTGTAGCGAAAATCGTTAATTTATTGTTTTATACGCGTTTAAGTGCCTATAAATGTAAATATGGGTAGGAAAAAAAAATAAATGTTACCTAAGTGGTAAAACAAAGAGAGTTTATCGCATGAACGCTGCTCGAATGTTGTATTTTGAGGTTAATACTTATATTTAGTAAGGTAATTTTTTGTTTGAGGCTGCCTAATAGGTGCCATTTTTACTCATTTACATTAGCCAAACTGATCATTTATACTTTTCTAGTTTCAAGTGAGAAACACTAAAAATGTAAATATCAAGACCCAGTCGGAAAAGAATGTACAGAGTAGTGCAAGCACAGAGACCGCAAATAATGTCAGTCAATATATTGTCCGAAAGCATGGGGTAAAAGTACATAATTAAGAAAAACCGAAATACTTCGGATGTGAAGTGATTGACCAGTCGGAGTAGTCTTGTGAGAATTTACATACACAGTACCTATCCCCACTATGGGGCAATCACCGACTTTTTAGTTTTTTTTTTCTTTATTATTTATGCAATTTGCATTACGGCATCTTGTAAGACTCACAAGAACAAACATTTTCAGTTATATGAGAATCTGTACGTACGATGCACCAATTAAGAAAAAAAATCGTTATCAATTCAATAAATTTTCGAACAATATTTTATAACGAATAAAGTACAGAATTTATAATCTATAGGAACTAATATTATAAATAAGAAAAATTTATTTAAGAAGTAAGCAATGCTCTCTGTGTTGTTCATTACTCTGCATCTGAGCTAGTTCAGTCAAATATAATCAAAGCCCGTACGGCTTTGATTATAGGTATTATACATGTCTATATAAACAAAGCGTAGGTACTGGCGGCGCGTGGTTTGCTGCGAAACTAGCAAGGTCATTCGCGTGGTATTCGGCCTTAATTCTACTCTGTTTCTAATGTTTTGTGTTGAGCAGCATTTTGATCCTTAATCGGGCCACAGCGTCTACTCATCATTAGATGATCTGTGTTCTCATTAGTCGCCTTTATTCTACAAAATAAAATATACAAATATATTACCCTCACTACACAAAAGCAATTACAAACTACTACTACTGCATTTTACTACTTACTAAATGTAACTACTGCATGTCAGCTATTTTCATTTTCACATTCAATAACTACCAATTTTTCAGTTGTGACAAGATCTGTCAAATAAATTTAATTTTACTAAACTACTGCTCACAGTTTTTAAATTGAATTACTTTGATAAATTATTACTGACAGAATTTCTTCTCGTATCACTTATCATTTCTACGATTTTATAATTTAACATCCATAATGTATGAAACCAGTGCCGTCAACTAAGAGCTAATTTAAAAATCAAGACAATGTAATAAATTATACTTTTTCACTATGACTACTTTACTATATAGATGGAAGCGAACCCCGTGAACGAAATCGGCGAGGTACTGGAACGTATCCAGGAACTGCAGCGCGTAAAGCACGGCGTGCGGCTGGAGCAGCGCGCCGTGGCGCAGTTGCTGCAGTCCCACGCACACGAACAGTTGCAAGCCCACGAGTCCCACGCGCGAGACTCCCACGCACGCGAATCCCACGGCGACGAGGAGCCCGACCCCGCACTCGCCGAGGAGGCTGAGGCGCTGCTCGATCGCCTCGACGCGCTGCTGCTCATACTCGATGTGCAGGCTTCTAGAGTAAGTCATCAAATACAACATGGTTAATATCGTCTTGTGCGTGGTGTCTCCATTGTCTCCCAGAATATCCCACATCATAGCATTCATTTTTATGTGGTAGAGGCATACGGCTACTGTATCATGGTTGTAGCACGAACGGGTCGGCTCGACCAAGTAAGGACCACGCTAAACATTAGCGTAAAATAGTTGTTAATTGCTGCTGCGTTTCCTATGGTGTGTGTAGAGAACCGGAGACCCTTTTTACTGGATGATGATTTATGATTGATGATTGATGAAGATGTAAATGCCTTGAGCCTAAATGTAACACAATGAAAAGTAGAACACATTATCATACTTTTATTATTTACAAGTGTTGATATTCCATAATACCGGTTTATTATAGATACGCGAATTAGGTTTCGAATTCGACATCGACACTACGGAAGAGACGACGGAGTCACCAACGCCGATACAGGCGGACACGAGCACGGTGACGACGACGATGCGCGTAGAGACCACGACGACGACGGCAACTGGCGATGAGCACACGGCCAGCAAGAAGCCGCGGCTGGGCGACGAGGGTCCGCGCCGCTTCCAGGCCTTCGAGTCCTGGGCGCGCGACGCACAACAACAGTTGCAGCACGTGAGGACTTTATTCGTAATCCTTTTTTTCGTATATCTATCTCTGAACACAATTTATTTAATTTAGTACTGATTGTGTCATACACAAGTCTCGCTGTAAGTGTAACTATGCAAGTATGTAATGCAATGTAAGATTAAATGCTGCTGAGGAGTACCACTCAAATACGTATTATTGTAAGATGCAAACTGAAACACTGTTTATCGTGAGGCCGTGCTAATGGTACTGAATTTATTATAAGAACAATATGTATACAATGCATTGAAATGACGTCAAACACGAGCACGCGCTCCAATTACGCTAACATATAAAAATGTACGGGTTTACTCGTACACTCGCGATAAATGGATTGAAATAGTGTTTTTATAAATATACAAATTTTTAAAATTATTTTACTTCTAATCATGTTTTTTTTGGTTTAAAATTACATTTAATATTGTTTGCCCAGTGCGAGTGTGAACTGGGTGATGTTGGTGCGGGTGATGGTGGTGGTGGTGGTGGCGCGGCGCGGGGGGCGGCGCGCGCGCTGGTGGCGCAGCTGCGGCGCGAGTTCGAGCACCTGGCACACGCAGGTACCCACCACTGACCACTGTTACACGCGCGCCACACATCACAATACTCTACAAAATACAAACAAACGCACGTACGCACCGGCGAACGGTGAACGGATGAACGCATTCATGGATGCACTTTTTCTCTCCCTCCCCCTCTATCATCTGGCAAAAAGTAAAATTATCATTAACTTACATAAAAAAATATTATGTCATGTCTTATGTTTTGACAATATAATAATGATGGCTATGAGGTATTTTGTTTCGCTCTCAATCAATGATTTATCTATCTATAACTTTCTATACTTTTAAGTAAAGAAAGTTATGGATAGATAAATAGCTTGATACCTTAGTATTTTAACAATAAATAATTTTTTAACATTGAATAAAACTAAATTTACGGATTTTATCGCGTTCATTTAACTGATTCTACTTATTTTTAATTCCCGACGTTTCGGGTGCTTTACAGCACCCATGGCGTCACCACGGGGGACTGAGATGTTTGACGTCCCAATGTCATAGTTACTCCGGTTACCTTCTTATAGCTTATAGTATCATGAAGTCTTGCAGTGGTATGCTTGGGTTTGGGTTTAATATTGTTAATTATAGGATCCCAAGCAGGTGGCAGCACCCATCCATCTTCTCTATTGAAATTAGGATGTTTTTTAATTTCAATAGCCTCGCGTATCATCCTTGGTAGGAATCGGTGTCCTTTTGCGAGGACTTGTGGTTTATCAAATCTGATGTAATGGTGGGAACGATCTTGAACATGTTCACAGACTGCAGACTTCCCGGAGCGTCGGTGCTTCACGTCAGCTATATGTTCTTTCACGCGGGTTTTTATGGATCTTTTTGTTTGACCTATATAAGAGAGACCACATTCACAATCTAACTTGTACACTCCTGCATCTTGTAGAGGGATATTACACTTGACGGATGGTAAAAATTGACTAATCTTCTACGGCGGCTCGTAGTATGTTTTAATGGAAGCTCGCTTCAAGATGTAGCCAACCTTGTCTGTGACTCCTCTGATATATGGTAGTACAGCAGGCACACGCTCGACTGTGGCCGGCTTCACTCGGTCACTGTGACATAGGCGCGAGACCCGAAGCTTGTTGTCTTGCAATACTTACAATACTAACTGTGAAGGATGATGGTGAGATTCACCATTTAAATATCGGTTAGTATGGGTATTTTTCATATACACAGTGTGACCAATAGTGTTATCAGGATTTCGAATGACTAAAACATCTAGGAAAGCTAAAGAGTTATTTGCCTCTAACTCCATTGTGAATTGTATTTTAGAGTTTATTATAGAGTTAAGGTGGTCTAAAAATGCAGTTACTTTGTCAGATGGTAAAATTGTGAAAGTGTCGTCTACGTACCGCTTGTAGAACCTTGGATTTACAGGAGCAGTAAGAAGGGTTTTCTTCTTGAAGTCCTCCATGAATATGTCGGCGACTACTTGCTTGTAGAATTCTTCCTTCCACAATAGATAGCCAGATGTGAGGCAGTGTTTGAGTAATACTGCATATTCAGCAGGCATGTTATTATCTTCTAGCTTCCTAGTCACAATTGGGATGCAGTCTTCAATAGGTAGGCTTGTGAACAATGACTGAACATCAAAATTGACCATAGTTTCATTGTCAGTGAGATGTAGGTCTTTTATCTCACTAATAAAATGGTATGAATCCTTTGTGTGTGCTCTGGTATGTCCTCTCAGTGGTGACAGTATTTTTGTCAAGTGTTGTGCCAGCTTATAAGTTGGTGAATCGATCTGGCTCACTATAGGACGTAGTGGAGCGTTTGGTTTGTGTATCTTCGGTAAACCATACAACCTCGGTGGTTTGGTACAGGATGGTATTAGCGCATTCACGTCGAGATTTAATTTTTCGGAGTATTTCTTTATTAAATCGCTAGTTGCTTTAAGCGTGTTAGTTGTGGGTCTGTTTTGACCTTTTTATATGTACTTTCGTCCGATAAAAGCTGTAGTATTTTAAAACTATACTCGACGTGTCCATTATTACCGTAGCGTTTCCTTTATCCGCGCGGAGAATCGTTAGCTCTGGTCTGTTCCGTAAGTTAATTTGGAACTTGGGATCCTATAATTAACAATATTAACCACTCGTAATATCCGTCAGTCTATGTACCTATTAGTCTGACCTATGGTCAAGCCAAAGAGTAGTAGGTTTGACCAAAAACAATTTTTTTAAATGAAGGTAAATATAACTTAGAGTCATTACCATGTTCTTATCCTAAAATAAAAATTATCAACAATTAAAATATCGAATTATTTGTATGAAGGACACGTGAGCGCTAGAGAAATGATTGTAAGACGTTGTTGACAAATAAAATGTTTAATGAAATAGTACAGTAAAAATAGAATTTAACATTGCACGAAATTTCCGATTCAATTTTTTTTTATGAGGTTTAGGATCACTTATTCAGCATAAAATCACAAAATGCCGACAGATCCAGGTGGCACTTCAAGCGCAATCTTGAAAAAACGTTTTCAGTCGATATCTCGGTAACTATGCACTGTAAGACAAAAGTTATTCAAACCATTATTGTAGCAAATAAAATTTCGCATCTTTTGTTTCCAGTAAACTTTTTTGTAAAACTTACCGTTTACGATTTATGGCCCATTTAATGAACAGGTGGTGCTTCAAACGCCATCTTGAAAAAACGTTTTCAGCCGATATCTCGGTAACTATGCACTGTAAGACAAAAGTTATACAAACAATTATTGTACAAAATAAAATTTCGCTTCTTTTGTTTCCAGTAAACTTTTTTGTAAAACTTACCGTTTACGATATATGGCCCATTTAATGAACCGGTTTTTTTATCGCGGCCAATAACTCTTGAAATATTAGATTAATCAATAAAATGCATAAATTTACTTTGAAAGGTCAGTTTATTTTCCAAAACTTTTTTTCTAACATTCATACTTTTTGAGTTATAGGACGTTTCATGTCACGCATAGCTGCCAGCGTCACCCGCCGAGCTCGGCCGACGCTCGGCAGGTGACGCGGCAGCTACTTTATGATTAAGAACCCGGATTTTATTGCTATTATTTCGGGGAATTCCAAGTAAGACGTCATTATTGTTTACTAACTACGAGTTACGGAGTCTCATTTTTGAAATTCGAGTTAAAGAGTATAAATATCTATTATCAATATTTCGTAGGGAGATAATATTTTGTTCGAGTTACAAAGTCTAATAATTCGAGATACCGCGTATTTAGGAGTTCAGCGGAAGGGAATGGCAATTTTTTTCGACTTACTGTGTATTTCAACTTAACGAGGTTCGAGTTATAGAGATTTCACTGAATATCATAACACGCATATAATTTTTTAAGTACAGCGTGTCTTTCAGCAACTTAATATTACTAAGTTTTTAAGTTTATATGTGAACTATATAATAATATAATTATTTTTAAATGTTATTTATAATCTTATCTATGGTTTCGATAGTACGATAAACTTAGTGATCATATACTCTTTGGTTCTAAGGCGTCCCTCTAAATATTAGTATAATATTTGGCGCGGTCTAACAAGGAGACATTGACGTCTCCATATGGAGACGCCGGACTTTTAAGGGTTAAACCCAAACCCAAGCATACCACTGCAAGACTTCTAGACACTGTAAGCTCGTTTTGCGTAAATCGGACCGAAAAATTTATATTAAAAATCTGAAGGTAGCCAGGCTAACTATGACATTGGGTCAAACATCTCAGTCCCCCGTGACCATGGTTGCTGTAAAGCACCCGAAACGTCGGGAATTAAAAATAAGTAAAATCAGTTAAATAAACGCGATAAAATCCGTAAGTTTACTTTTATTCAATGTGTAGTTTTTGCGTAAATTTAAGAAATCATTATTTTTTTAACATTTTCTTTAACCATCACACAATTCAAATAAAGTTTTTATTACAATACCATACAAACGTGAAACGCACATAGTAAGTAGCCGGCGGCTGTCTCGCGTGTTGCAGACGAGGCGCAGCAGCACGCGGCTGACAGCGAGGAGCTGACTCGCTGCTGCGAGGACGTGCAGCGCCGGCTGCAGCGCGTGCAGCACTCGCTCGAGCTGCTGGACGAGCGGGACAAGTTCGAGGCCAGCGCTGCGGCGCTGCGCGAGCAGCTGCAGGAGGCGCGCGCCTGGTTTCGGCGCATGCTGCCGGAGCGCGCCGGCCCGCCCTCGCACAACCAGCTCATCCACGTGCGCAACAAGCTGCGCGCGCTGCGCCAGCTCGACATGCGCCTCAAGGAGCTCGCCGCGCACTCCATCATACTGCTCACCAAGCCGCTGCCGCAAGCGCACAAGGACTGCATACAGCACGAGACGAAACGAATCACCGACGAATATGAAGAGGTGCTGTCGAATTTGATCAAAAAAGAGGTCGAGCTGAAGTTGGCCCTCGGCCAGAAAAAAGGAGAGGTGCAGGGAGACAAGTTTAAGGAGATTCAAAATAAGATAGCTGAAATAGAGTCGCAAATATTAGCCGAACACGTTATAGTTTCCACGCAGGAAGAAATGGAGAAAAAGATTGGAGTGTTGAAACGACTGCAGAGACAATTCCAGGAGCTGCAGCCCGGATACGACGTGCTTGTAAAGGAGAGAAGGGAGAAGTACGACTCTGGGAGCGTGCCTGACTTGAATTTACGAAGCAGCGTAGAGAATTTGGTCACGAAGTTTACAGACTGTCAGACAATTTTGAAACAGAAGATCGAGAAATTGGAGCAGGGTATGATTACATTCTTTTTGGTAATGTTATGCTGTATGCATGATAGAATTATATTTGATTATTTAATTTTTTTACCGTCACAGGAAGTACTTATGTATATTTTTCAGTAAATTAATATCATCTGCATAAGAAGTATAAAAATTAATATGATCTTTATATATATTGAGAGATACAGATGAAAGTGATGTTTTCGTTTACACTGTACAAAATATATAATATGTTTTCGTTTTAATTGGTTTTATGGCAATGATAACATTTTTGAATAATCGCATGCATGGATCACGCAAGATATATTTTAGTGATACAGGGTTCATGCAAACATTGAGAGACGTATATCGAATAAAAAAAATATTTTAATACTAGCTGTTACCCGCGGCTTCGCCCGCATGGTCACTGGGAAATGAACTATCCATTGCTTTTTGAATTGAAAGAAAACTGAGTTTTATAGATTTGTCAGAGATGCAGCCATTAAAAGGAAACTGAGCAAAATTGATTCGTCAGCCTATTTAAATGTTTTGAAACGCAGCGTATAGGAAAGCATGAAAATAACCTGTTGATTCCAAATGGAAATGGGATATTTTTTAATTAAAGGAAACTGAGCATAATTATCCGTCAGGGATGCAGACTTTTGAAAAGAAACTGCTTGCTGCAGTTTTAAATGTTTTGACTAAAATGTTACGTTCATGCAAGAATCTTTGAACACTGTGTCTCTCTTAACTCCTGTATAAATTGGCAGCGACTGTCTACCTCAATTTCTTCGTCACTCATAAAATATACTTGTAAAAATTTATGCTGTTCGTTTTCAGCTGGAAAAAGTGAACCTATTCTATGATAAATTTGCCCTTGCACCGTAAATGTAGGCGAAAATCCCGGCATCATTATTTCCCGGTCAACTCCTAAGGACGTCATTTGAAAGCATGAGTTATATTTCCGGATCCTGTTTAAAAAACGCCGTGACTCATTAGCATCATATAAAAAGAGAGTTTTTAAAGGTGCTTCTGGTTCCCCAAGTAACGGAAGAGACACTTTGCCATTGGAACAGCACATGCCTGCGGTCTCATCTTTCCATTTTAAAGCGCTGCAAAATCGACACGCCTTGTCCATCAGTCCGATAACAACTAACCTGTGATTTTTATAATCAATCAACGGATTATAATTGAATGCTACGTCATTAAAAACCGATCGATTGTTTCTTTGAAAATTTTGTCGACGTTCAGCTTGGAGCTGCATTTGCATCTCTTCGTGCCTGTGTCTGTTCTGGTGTTTCAGATGCCCCTATAGTAGATTGACGTTCAGCTTGCTCAATGAGTCTGTGTTGAATTTCATCAGGTGTTTCCGCGGCTCTTAAGGCGGCCTGACGTTCCGCTTGTTCGAATATCCTTTGCTGACTTTGAGCAGGTGTTTCAGTAGCTCTTAGGCCAGCGCCACACTTGACGGAAATTACGACGCGGATCTTTCCCAACGGACTGTCAATACATGTTAATACATATAAATTACAAATAGCGGGCACACTACGTGGTAGATCGGTCGCTCCGTGGCGGACAGCTCGCTCTCGCGGCTACTCCGTCCTCCGCGCACCGATCTTCCGTCGGCGTAAGATCGGCAACGTCGCATTCCAGGTATTTGTATGCATCGCGCCACATTCGGCGGATAACTCGCGGTGACGGCGCACGCACAGGATGTTCGACACTGAACGATTTATTATCGAAGTGCAAAATAGACTCTAGAGAAAAGCCGGATAGAACGCCCAAATGAAAATTCTTGTGATGAATTATCAAGTAATGCAAACTCACAACTAACTGTAATTGAGAATTTGAGTCCACCTCAAACTGATGAAGTTCCAGGGACCTCTCAAATAAAAAGAAAACCTAAAATGACAGTCTTTCAACAGAGTTTAATTACAGCAATGAATAAAAAGCAACAATCAGTTAAAGAAGTTGAAGATGCCGACACGAAATTTTTACTTTTCTTAATCTTCAAATCAAGAGCCTGAATGAAAGACAAAATTGTGAGTTCAGAATCAAAGTGATGATTTTGATTTATAAAATCAAATATCGTAACCCATACAACATATCACATAATAAAACGTATTCTTACAAACATCCTAGCTATAGTACATACGAACAATCACCTACAACATATATAGCAGATGGGTCACACCGCCGGTGTAACATACACCATACAGTCCATACAGTCACCCGAATCTATTGAAACTCAAGTTCATCCAATTCAATCAGCTCAAACTAAAAAAGCATACTCAATTGAGGAAATAGAGGAAATATTTCAGAATATGTCCAGCAATTCAATTCAATTAAAATTAAAGATTTGATTAATCATAATAAATAATTTGTCTCATATACACTATTATTATTTATCTTACTTTAATATAACGGTCAGCCTTTTTTCAGGAGATATAGCCGTTCTAAGTTTTGTATTTTGCTCGGTAATATAGTCCTTCGTTAAATTCAACAATACATCAAATGATTGTATGTACATTCGATAATATTCGAATGCTTTATCTGGATTATGTCTAACAAAGTATGAAATTGCCCAATTTATAGTCGAAGAATATTTAAGGGATGAACCCAATATTTACGCTTTCTTTTTCTTTCTTCTTCTAATGCCTCATAAATAGCTATCACTTCTATCGGATCCATTACGACCACACCGTATAAGCGTTGGCAGTCAAGTGATAATCTGCCACTGAATATTCAGTGTGGCTGCAACGTATGATAACGGATTTACTCCCGCGGAAGTTCAGCGTCGGAATTTCCGTCAAGTGTGGCGCTGGCCTTAACTACTTTAAGGACGCTTGACGCTCTGCTTGTACAAGACGCCTTCGCTGACTTTGAGAAGGTGTTTCAGAGGCTCTTAAAGTAGCTTGACGCTCTGCCTGTTCAAGACGCCTTTTCTGACTTTGAGAAGGTGTTTCGGAAGCTCTTAAAGCAGCCTGACGCTCTGTCTGTTAAAGACGCCTTTGCTGACGTTGAGAAGGTGTCTCAGATGCTCTAAAAGCAGCCTGATGCTCTGCTTGTTCTTGCCTTCTCAGTTCAGCATCTTCTAAAGATTCTAGCGATCGAGCTAATCTTTTCGCTTGTCTTTGAGAAGATACTCTTGAAAGGCTGGACTTATGTTTACGAGGCGTTATGAAGTAACAAAAAACCTATTTATAAAAAACGTTAAAATACCTAATAGGAATTAAATTTCCTTTTAAATATTTTTTTTAAATCAAATCCAAAATATCTGAAAGGAATAAATATTCCTTTTAAATATTTTTTTAAAATCAAAACAACAAAACCAATTCAAGACAACACGAATCCGTAAACGATAGCCAATCCTTCACCAAACCAATTCAACCTTAACCAAATCACAAAGCAAATAACAAACAACCGAAATCGAAAGCAGGTAGTCGAATAAGCTACGAAATAGAAACAATTTAAGCGTATAGGTACCGTATGCATTATAAGTTGACGCGCGGCTCAACGGCGGGAGTTAAGTACATGTCAGGAAACATTTCGTTACCGCGTTTTAAAAACCTAGTAACTACATCTAGCGGAATCAATTTAAACTATGTATACGTTAGTTAATAAGAACTCTCAAAAAATATTTTTCTTATAATTTTGCACAATTTTTCTTATTGTAATACCGATTCATTCATAACCACATATAAGAACTGTATTCATTTCCGTTCAATAAATATTACTAAGGCTTATTAATAAGGCTTACTAAGAACTGTTTCTACCAGAGTTAAGTTATAGTTAAGGGTGAAAGCGTGACAGGTGGTGATAGTATTTCTGATCCATACTTATAATCACGTCTGTAACCCTTGCGGGTTAGGCAGAGCATCAACGGATTACTTAATATCGTCTGCGAGTTTATCGCCTATTCTGTGAATTACAATGCACCAAAACGTTTGAAGAAAATCAGCTGGTGAATTTTATGTTTTTTATCGCTCTCTTCCCAGTCCTGCGTGGAAAAATACAGATCCATACATTTTTTATCTTAATTTTGGTAAAAAGACATAATAATCCAGATATTCTGACCTTCTGTGTTCGTCCATCGTACCGTCGTCCGTCTTGTAGAATCACGGTGGCGCCACCTAGCTGAATTTAATTTTGCAACATATTCGATTTTCCCTCGGGAATGATATGTTTTTCCGCTGAAAAAAGTAGCCTAACTATGTCACTCTACAGCCACCGAACTATCCCCATACAAAACTCATGCCATGCCGACGCTCTGTTGCGACGTGAAAGAAGGACAAACAAACAAACAAACACACTTTCGCATTTATAATATTAAAAATAAAGTATGGAAGTATTACACCCTTTTTCAAACAGTGTTTTAAAAGAAACCTAGAGTGCTAACTAACCACTATAATTTTTGTCTAATTTTTTAAAACCAAATAGTGCCATAAAATACTTTTAATTTATCGTTTTAAATTTTCTCGCGAAAACCCTAGGTGCCATGCTCGTGACTGCTCGTGACTGTTAAAAAACTAATGATTGGTAATGGTTGTAATCATAGAAACAGAACTATGTATTATTAAACAAAATACTCTTTGAACTGGTATTGTGTTATTGTACAAATAAAAGTTGGTAATATGTACACAATTGTTTTAACATTCCTCAATTCGGTAGAACAAAAATCTGGATTCCTTGCAAAATATTTTGGCATCATCAATGTATTTTCTTTTGTAGATTAGTACTTCCTGCTTTTATGAATTGTCTTCTATGATGCCTTTTCAATAACATTCGGAAAGAACTCAACATTCTTAATGATAAATTGAAATATTTCGAAATAACACGCAGCACATTAGCTATAATTATAGTTTGCTTAATCAATGACGTCACGGCAGAGTGTAATATGGCGGATAGCGTATCGGAGATTTGAGGCTCAGATAAAAAAAATTAAATTTAATTATAAAATTTATAATGCAGTTCTTTGAATAGAAATCAATATTTCTCATTAATTTTTGACAAAACCTAACATAAATATAAAAAAATCTAAATATATATATATATATATATTTTTTTTTTTATGATTTTTTTACATAGTTTAAAATATCATAATAATATTGGTGGGGCCAATTGCCCTAATTTTTAATCCGACTCGTAAGAACCAGAGATGGTTGGGCGACGTGCCTAGGCGTTCTTGAGTCCGATTCCCCGGTCGGGCCTTCGGGAATTATGCGAGATGTTACTAGGTGGACTGTATGTGCGGTTTAGATGTTACTAGGTGGACTGTACCCCAAACAGGATGGCTGACATGGCACGCGACAGCCTTGGACGATGCACTCGCTCCTCCTAATCTACCATTTCACCAGTGTCAAGGGGGGGGGGTAGGAGTTCACTTGAGCCGGTAGGAGAGAAAATGTGACGGGGAAAAACAAAACAAAAAAAGGCTCAAGTAAAACAACAAAAAAGGGAAGGAGAAAAGGAAAAAATATGCACTTACCGGAGTGGAGTTCTTTCCGTTGCCGCGGTGGATGCTCCTGGTCTGGTGGTGTGTTGGAAGAGAGGCGGTGCGCGACGACAACTCGCACTATGCGAGGCGGTTACTTCTAGCAGTTCTGTGGCCGACTGCCACGGAGGTGCGATAACAACTAGCGAAGTGAACTACGATGCGAAAAGAAGGGCGAGCGACGGCAGGGTGTGTCCTTATATTAGCAGGCCACTTCCACCACTTCCAGCCTGGCGGGGCGCGTTCCTCATTGGCTGAAAAGGTGGCACCACATTTTAGACCTCCCTCCCCCTTCAGTGCGTGTGGAAGGAATGTGGGGATACAGGAAGGGGAGACACTGGCGAACATTAATTAACCGAACAAAATATATGAGAGTACCCGATTCTATTTCCGCGCAACCAAATATCATGTTTGAGTACAGTTAATAATGAGCAGTCATTGTGGTCTAGCTATAGTGAGCGTGTGTTAGTTGTGTGTGAGGTGGAGACTTGCGTGTAGTCGCGTATCGATTATGCGCTCCAAGAGGTCGAACATTGGCGCGCATTCTAGCCGCGTGAAATGGATACCGACTTGGAACGCGCGCCAAGTTATTCGCTGGAACGCTCAAACGTGGAGCGGGCCGTGCCATCTAGTGCCGGTTTTTTATCGCGAATCAAAGTAGTTAAGTTTTGGCGTGCGCTGGTAGGGACGGTAGTTTTCATTATTTGTGTGTTCGTTGCGTTCTGAGCTATGGATAACCAAAGTTGCCGTAAATTGATAAAGTTATATGGTTTAAAAGAATTGCTGTAAAATAGCAATAGTTGTTTTTATAATAATAAAGCGCTTAAAGAAGATGCATTAAGAGAACTATGAAAGCGGCAGCTGTTCGTACACGATCGACATTTTTATATTATAGAATAAGGGTGACATACGAGCTCACAGTTTTCCCGATGGTAAGTGGATGGCTGTGGCCCATAGACATCTACATCTATTCTTGACTAAGAATCAAAATGCAGATACGTTGCTATCCCTGAAAACTAAGGTGGAGTGCCTCGTTTCTATTAAAAATGGTCTCCGGTTTTCTGCACTCGCCATACGAAACACAGCAGCATTAAGCTTGTTACTTTACGTTGATACTCTGTGACAGCGTGGTCTTTCTCCGATCGAGCCGACCCATTCGTGCTACAATCATATTATGGCTGCAGCATGGCTCTACCACTATTTTAAAATCATATCCATGTTGAACGGTCAAATACTGGAACAGCTGCCGCTTACTTGATATACTTGGTACATTTGGAACGCTTTTTGCAAAACCCATCGGTCGGCGCGGTCATTAATGGCGCGCGCGCCAGGAGCGCGTAATCGATACGCGGCTTTAGGCTTGGTATAGCGCGGGCGTAGTGTTAGTGTAGCGAGCGGGCGTGTGTGCACAGGCGTGCAGCTGGTGGTGCAGCTGGAGAGCGCGGAGCGCTGGGTGCGCGCGGCCGAGAAGCTGCGGGACGAGGCGGCGGACGCGGCGGGCGGCGAGCTGCAGCCGCTGCAAGCGCTGCTGCAGTGCGCGCGCGACCTGCAAGAGCAGGAGGAGGCGGCGAACCGCGCGCTGGTGGCCGCGGAGGCGGCGTGCGAGGGCGAGGGGGAGGGGGAGGGCGCGCTACGTGTGCGCGCGCTGCGGCGGCGCCACGCGGCGCTACGCGATGCGCTGCCCGGCCTGGTGCGCCGCCTGGACCTGGCGCTACAGCACACGCAGCGCCTCTTCGACCAGATCGACCACGTACGTACTCACTGCAACACTACACACCTTTTTCTATTCACTCTACGTATACTTAGCAACGTCATTGATTTCTCCAAAATTAGGCATCTTCCAAGAAAAATAAAACAGTACAACAATTTTTTACTTAGTCACATAGGCCACACGTCACGAAAACGGCTTTCAAAATATGTTGTTTTAAAGATTTGTTAAGTAAACAAAGCTCTACTAGCATCTTGGAAAGAGTAGCACTGCTCAACATCAACTTACAGGGGTATAATCTAAACATAATTCAAACATACACTCTCACAGAGTCAACCGACGAAACAGCGTTTTTCAACTACATAGACAATTCATTGGGGTCATACAATAATATCATATTATATTCTTATAAATAACATTTAAAAATAATTAATTATATTAAAAGAATTATATTATTATATAGTTCACATATAAACTTAAAAACTTAGTAATATTAAGTTGCTGAAAGACACGCTGTACTTAAAAAATTATATGCGTGTTATGATATTCAGTGAAATCTCTATAACTTGATCCTCGTTAAGTTGAAATCCTCAGTAAGTCGAAAAAATTGCCATTCCCTTCCACTGAACTCCTATATACGCGGTATCTTGAATTATTAGACTTTGTAACTCGAACAAAATGTTACTTCCCTACGAAATATTGATAAATAGATATTTATACTCGAATTTCAAAAAGGAGACTCCGTAAGTTGTAGTTAGTAAACAATAATGACGTCTTAATTGGAATATTCTTAATCGCAAAGTAGCTGCCGCGTCACCTGCCGAGCGTCGGCCGAGCTCAGCGGGTGATGGGTGTAAATCTATATATTTAAAATATAAAAGATTTTTAACATTGATATGGTCACTATAAAATGTTGTTAGGTTAGCTAATTACGTAATAACTTAAAACAGAAGGATCCTTAAGTAGGGACTGAATAAATTAACCGACTTGGTACCTCACAACTTTTTACAGTAGAAGAACTGAGCTGCGTGACTTGGTTTTTTTACAAGTTATGTTCTTGATGGCATCTCATTTCTTTTTGTACATAAGATTGTCCTACTTTTTTATCTTTCCGGTACCTTCTACTTCTTGAATACCAACAACGTACCTATCTACCTATTATACATATACGAGTACACTGATTCATTCACTGCAAATGTAACTTTGTAATTCTATATATTTATATAGGATTACAAAGTTATTTATGCAGTTGGTGTATCCAGAAAACTGATAATATTTTAGTTTTTCCTTGATTTATACACTAAACACTTATTGTATTCTAAATTTGAAGCTTCTATGTCTGCTAGAAGTATCTTAGAGTTTTGATGATCTGTCAGTCAGTGAGTGACAAAATTAAGAAACTTTGACTAGTTATAATTCTTAAACTACTGGTTCAAATTGAATGAAATTTGAAATACAGCATGTTTATATAATGCCTACTTAGTTACTGAAAATCATCAGACTTCTAGTTTTATCCACTACGAAGTTATAGGGGGTCGAAAATGGCCTGGATTGCTTCGAGAAAAGAATGGTACGGCCGTGCCGCTTTTTTGCTCGACTTGGCGGACAGACCAGATAATCTTACTTAATACTTAATTTCATAACGTAATGATAAGCATTTACTAAATTTTATCTTTGGGCAACCCTAAAATTGTGTATACGATAATACTTTTTATTATAAAATATAAATGTTGGATTTCCGATTTTGGGCGAGGTTTTACCTTCGACTAACAGATGGCGCTGATTGTCACTTAATTCGCGCTATACAAGTGATTTTTCTATACCATAGTATTGTTGTTTTTTTAAAGTATAGTCAGTTCTTTATTATCATTTTTTTTGCGCCCGAAGCAATTATGGGCAACCCTCCGGAAAGCGAGGGAGGGAGGCGGTGAATGCTCATAGCATACCACGCAGCCGGCTGCGTGGTTATGTGGAGACTTTTACCCACTAAACACCGCCTTTATGGAATGGCTTAACGATCTGACGAGAGATCTCTAAGCCGTATACGTACGCGACCCTCCTTGGTAGAAAGGAGGGCGCAAGCGGCGAAAAGCCGCTTTGAAGTGTGCCTAACTAAGGCAGGTTAAAGGATGTGTTAAGTAGGCTCGGCCTGAGCCGCCAGGAGGCAGTTCAGGTCAGCCGAAAGCTTGTTGGGGGGGGGGGGGCCAGAGAGAGATTCTCGGTCTGCGCACACTATAGCGAGTGTGGAGAGGAGCTGCATAGGCAGCTGTCTCACGAATGATATGATTTGGGTGGGACTCTGAGGCTTTGAAAAATCTCTCAGAGAGTGATTTAAGGAACTGTTGGATTGTTGGGAGCTCTAATTCTCGGTGTAGGTCGGCATTACGGACATAATAGGGCGAGTTAATGGCCCTACGACAGAATAGATTTTGAACTATTTGAAGTTCATTTATAACTTTGGGCTTAGCATGTGCGAAAATGGGGGCCGCGTAGGTCATGACAGGTCGTATGCCTACCTTATATAGGGTTCGCTTGTTGCGGAGGGACATATTACTATGTCTGCCCAACATGCTGTTGAGCTTACCCATGTTAAATCGCGCGGTGCGAGATACCTTCTTGATATGGGGCTCGAAAGTGAGCCTTGCATCAAGGGTGACGCCTAAATATTTGGCTTTTGTTTGCCATGAGACAGGGGTTCCTAACATCCTGATTGGCGGAGTGGTGGTGAGACGGCGTCGTTTATATTCGAAGCAAACGGCGGAGCTCTTCTCCGGGTTTATGTCGATACGCCATTTTTGGAACCAAGCTCCTAAGTCGTTAACTGACTTTTGGATCTTGTTCCGAATCTGTGGCAGTGAGTTGCCTTTAGAGTAAAGGGCTGTGTCATTTGCGAAGAGGGCTAGTTTAACACCGTTCGACGGGATAGGGATGTCGTTGGTGAATGGTATATATAGGAGGGGGGCAAGCACAGAACCTTGAGGGACACTGGCTTTGATTTGACGAGTAGAGGATAGCGTGCCTTCGTGTCTAAAACGAAAGGTACGATCCTTCAGATAGGAGGCTACAAGGCGGACGAGACGGCCAGGGAGGCCTAAGTCGTACAATTTGTAGATAAGGCCCTCGTGCCAGACTCTGTCGAATGCCTTGGCAATGTCGAAAAAGACCGCGATGGTCTTTTGACGACGAGGTTAAAAACCGCTGAGGATATATTCCACTATGCGGTGAACTTGCTGGGAGCACGAGTATTTGGCTCGAAACCCGAATTGTTGAGGGATAACAAGAGGGTCGCCGTCTGTGGGACACAAATGGCGCCTCATGCGCACGAGAATAACTCGTTCGAAGAGTTTGCCCATGGCCTTGAGGAGGCTGATGGGACGGTGATTGGATGGGAGTTGGTGAGGTTTGCCTGGCTTGGGAATGCCAATGACAGAGGTTGATATGTAGGGGGTCAGTGGGTTGTGAGCTGGGAGAGCATTGAGTGGCGACGCTGTCGGCGAAGCACTCATCCTTTTCTTCGTCCTCGAAGGCAATAGAGCCGTCGGGACGAGACAGAGGGGGAGTATGCGTGATAGCGTCTATCCGGAGGGCTCTCGCCATCTGGTAGTACGCTGTGTGAGAGGGGGAGATTTTCTCCATGAGATTGCCCCTTTCGAGGTCTCTGAAATCTTTGAGGCGGTAACGGAGTTTGCGTTGAAGGCGGTGGGCCGCGAGTCTATACTCGGGAGTGGGATAGCGTGCAGCTCTACGGAGGGCAGCTTTTTTGGCTTTGAGCAGGTTGCTAATATCTAGGGGAAGACTAGTTTTAGCAACCGGGACAACCTTTTCATTCTCTTTAAGAGAGGATGTTATAAGAGAGGTGAGATTTTCGACTGCGGTGTCTATTTTCCCCGTACTGTCGAAGACGTCGGAAGAAAGTGTTATGGGAGGGTCCGGAGAGTCTATAGCCGAGGCTAGCGACTTCTTGAAGCCCCTCCAGTTAGTGTAGGTTGGAAGTGGGAGTTGGAGGTGGCTGATGGCCAAGAAGGAGGGATACAGGACGGTGGTCGGATCCTAGATCATCGAGAGACTCGATTGCTCTAAGGTTAAGGGAGACTTCTTTACCTAGAGCAAAGTCTAGCACGTCAGGAGCGTAGTTAACGTTGTCGGGATAGTGGGTGACAGCGAGGGGGCTGTAGACAGTCAGGTTGAGAGACTGAGTGATATTGAGCAGCACCCTGCCACTACTAGTAGTAGTGCGGCAGGTCCATTCAGTATGCTTGGAGTTAAAATCTCCAAACATAATGACTGAGTCGCCTAATGCAAGGATACGTACTTACTTACTTATCTTCACGCACAGTCCCTAATGGGGTAGCCAGAGAGAACAGATCGCCAAGTGTCACGATCCTTACATATCTCTTTCGCTTCTTTCAGGTTCATTAACTTCTTCATACATGCACGTCTAGGTATCCGAGTATTCTTGACCCTCCCCTCTTCGAGTAATTTGCTCACATGGTCTTCGAAAGTTAGTCTCGGTCTACCTCGACACCTTTTAATATTTACTTTCGCTCTAAATATTTTCTTCACCATTCGGTCTTCACTCATTCGTTCAACGTGCCCAAACCAATGGAGTACGCCCCTATCAATTTTTGTGATAAGATCATCTTTCAATCCTGCCATATTGCGAATCTCTTCGTTTCGCTTTCGGTCGGCTATGGTAACGCCACACATTTTACGAAGAGATCGCATCTCCACTGCATTCAACTTGCTTTTATGCTTCTTCTGGCATACCCAGGTTTCGCTGCCATATAACAAAGTCGGTACCAACACTGCGTTATGTATTGCAAGGCGTGCACTCTTCACCACGCCTTGCCTTTTTACTAATGCATTCAGGGCACCATTGACTTTGTTTCCGGCAGCGACACGCCTATCCACATCTAAATCACATCTTCCATCCAGGCTGAAAGCACTCCCCCAAGTATACAATTTCATTTACCTGTTCTAGACATTCTTGATTTACCCATATTTCACATTTCGTTCTCTCTTCGTCCTTTTCAAATACCAGAACCTTAGTTTTATTAGCATTCAAACGGAGACCTTTAATTTCACATTCCTCTTTCATACACGTGACTAATGCCTGCAGTTCTGCTTCTGATGGTGCAATAAGCACTGCATCATCAGCATACAGCAGACAATTAACTTTTATGTCACCCAATTTCACACCCAAACAGCTATTTTTCAGCTTCTGTAAACAGCTGTCGAGATACAGTATGAACAGCCAGGAAGACATGACACAACCCTGTTTTACGCCCGCTTGGACGCTAAACATGGGTGACAGGCCATGCCCTACTCGCACACAGGCTTTACAGTCATAGTAAAGTGACTGCACAGCCCTTAACAATCGACCATCCACACCATATCCCGGCAACAGTTCCCACATTTTCTTCCTTATAACCTTATCAAATGCTTTCTCCAGATCCACAAAAGCACAGAAAATCCTCTGGTTAACACTCAGAAGCTTCTCCGTGATCATGCGGAGAGAAAACATTTGATCCGTGCATCCTCTTCCAGGTCTAAATCCGCATTGTGCCTCCCATAAGAATCTTTCCGATTTCTCTTGCATCCTACGTGTCAAAACCTTCGAGTAAACTTTACTTGCTAAACTGGTTAAGCTGATCGCCCGATAGCACCCGCAGTCAAAATGTGAACCTTTACCTTTATATAAAGGCACAATGACCGCGGATCGCCAATCATCCGGGACATCTCCCGTCCGCCAGCACAAATTGCACAGCAGATGGAAGCTGTCCCAGACGCGAGGCCCACCGTACTTGACCATTTCAGCAGTAACTCTGTCTAGTCCCGCAGCTTTACCACATTTCAAACTTCGAATCGCACGTTCAATCTCTTTCATGCTGATAACCTCAGTGTCATCGAGGTCCGTGTCTGGCGTGCCAGTCACGGCGTCACCCCCGGATCCTTCACTAAGATCATGACACGCATACATTTCTCTATAAAATTCACTCCATCGCTGCATGACGTCCGATTTTTCTGAGAGGACGTCATTGGTTCTCCAGAAGAGTTTGTTCCCTAAAGTTGTGCGACAACCTCTCGTCCGCTTCTATTCTACACCTTTCACGTACTTCCTCAATCAATGTTTTCGCATGAACTTTCTGCAGCTTATATCTTTCTTTCATCTTCTCTCTCATATGCTCATCGTAATGCAAGGATGGCTTCGAAATCACTCTTAACGGGGAGGGTTCCGCTAGGGATATAGCAAGAAGCTATAATGATAGACTGGTTTCCAGTCATGGCTAATCTAGTGATAGTTGCTTCCATACTGGTAAGCGTCGGAGTGGGGATGTGGGAGCAATGAAGGGACTTTTTGTAATAAATGGCAGTACCGCCGCCTTTGCGTTCGGGTCTGTCATTACGAAGAAGTGAATAACTTTTGATAGAGAGGCCTTTAGAGACCTTAGGGCTGAGGTGGGTCTCCTGAAGGCGGAGGAGGTCGGCTTCGCGATCTCGAAGAAAGAGCCTAAGCTCTGGGAGGTTATTTCCCAAACCGCGCATATTGAACGAAACAAGCGACAAACCCTTTGGTTTGATACGACCGTGCGATATTGCGGGAGCAGAGGCTCCGGCATAGTGTTATTACAACGACCTTAGTAGATCGATGTGCTCATCAAGAGCAAGGAGACGGTCCTGAGGGGACTGAGCAGCGCGCAGTTTCCGCGCAAGGATAGAGATTTCCCCTATATTGATCTTATTCATAGTGTTAGACACTAGGCTTAGATCATCTACTATAGGGTCTGCCTGTTTTTGTGGGGCGGCGGAGGGCCGCGGGATGTTTGTTGCCATTAGGAAACAAGGGTTTATTGGGAGTGGCGCAGACTGGGAGAGCGGAAGGCTCATAAGGGGCCGAGGGGGGCCCTGAGATGGCCGATAGAGGCACTGAGGGGGCCGACAGATGCCCTGTGTGGGCTGAGATGAGCCCTGAGAGGGCTGTGGTAGGGGCAGGCCCTGGCAGAGCATGCGGCTTCCAAGAGCCGGGAAAGTTCGGTCATAGACCTGAGGTGGAGATTTGTGGCTCAGAAGTGGGCGAGGAGCGCGAGGGCAGCCTCTAAGGTTGGCCGGGTGGCCTGTTTGTCCGCATAGGACACATGCGGGTGAAGAATCGGCATTTTTGGGCCGAGGGCACTCTTTCGAGTGATGGGGTTCTAGGCACTTAACGCACCTGGGTGGGGCTGAGCAGTTGGCTGCTGCGTGCCCATAAAGCTGGCAGCGGTGGCACTGCGCTGGGTAACCGCGCCGGTGTGGGGCTTCAACCCTTACACGCGACAGGCCGCACACAGTGCGTACCTCGCGGAAGATGGCCTTCGCCTCCGGCACATTGGCGAGAACGAGGAGGATGAGGTTAAATCTCTCGCCCCTGATGCTGTGCATCTTGTGGATAAGCTCTATGGGGAAGCCTAGGGACCTTAGGTCTTCCAGAATGTCCTCGTTTGCGAGTTCATAAGGAACTCCGCGGAAGACCGCCTTGACTTTCCTTTCTTCGGCGGGAGCGTGTGTGTGATAGGACACACGCTCGGCCGTGAAGAGACGGGTTATGTTCCGGAAGTCTTCTATAGACGCCGGAATGATTTTGATGGCCTCGCCGACATTGGTGGCTTGGTTATATTTGAAACCCTTATCGTAGAGGGTTTTAGACAGCTGTGTAAATTTCGCCTTGTCTCTGAGGAAGACAGGGGGCGGGACTTGGCTTTTAGCCAATTTGGGAGCGCAGCGGCTTGCTGGCTTGGCGGTAGTGTCTTGCTAATGAGAGGCGTTTGGGGCTGCGGAGGTAGGGGCAACGATGTGGGCTGCGGAGGTTGAGGCAGCGGTGGGGGGGTGCGCGGACGGCGGCGGCGGCAGCCAGGGCGGGGGGAGTGCGGGAAGTCGCGGCGCGCTTCGGACCGCGCTTGGATTTCACTAGCGTGAACTGGGCTGTATCGGTGACCGTTCCTTCGGAATCGGATGACTCCGAGGAGCCGGTGGAGCTGTGGGCGATCCTCTTCCGGGAGGAGGAGGTAACGGACGTGGTGTCCGAGTGATCCATATCGGAGTCGGGGTACGCGGGCGTGACAGTCTGCGGGGCAGCCGCTTGGATCGCGAGGAAAGCCGCGACGGCGGGCGGGGGGACACATGCCTTAGGGGCAGGGGAGTGAAGATATTACAGAATTGGCTGATGGTGTTCTCGTCGACATCGTAGGCTATGCCTTGGGATTGGTAGAACTGAGCGATCGCGGCCGAAATGGCGCTTGCAAGACCATGTTTCATGTCTATGGTAGACATGTTGGTTTGGAGAGGGAGGGGGCTGACGTTTGTTCAGAGAAACTCTTGCTCCGGGAAGAACGACGCCTTGTCCTCAAAAGGACAAGCAACGTTTTTCCAGAACACTAACAGTATGTAGTATTATAACAATAAACAATAACAATAATAGAAAAATAACAAAAAAAAAACAGTAACAGAATAGTAACAAAAGAACAATAAAGGCACAGAGCGCTCAGACCTCCCCGCCGAAGCGAGGGGGCAAAAACGGTGCGAAAAAACAAGTGACACACCTACGGCGACTCGGCCGGTGTGAGCCGGCGGGAGTGGGACGCGCGGGCGAGAGGTTGCACTACCGCACGAGGACGGAGCGTGGACTGTATGCACTACCGCTCGGGAGCGGTTCGCAAACGGACCTGTTCTTTATTACAGAATCATACCATCAAATAGTGTTTTAATTTAATCGGTAATTTCTCGGAACACTGATAATTGAACTCAATATCTGTAACATAATACTTTAATGCTTATACTACTCAAGTACATTCTACTTCCTATGTAATGATATAAATGATTAATATTTGGTAATATAATTTCCAACATCTTAGGAACATAAATGTCTTTTACAGCTAGAGGAATTCCTGCGCAGTCTGGAGCAGCAGATGCCCAGCGAGGAAGAGTGTAAAATCCGTGATTCGGCAGAATTGTACCGCATGAAGACCCGTTTCCAAACACTCAAAGAACAGTGTGACGAACGAGCCACGCAGTTTCGCAGCGTTAATGAGGAAGGTATGTTTGTTTATCAGGAAAAAATGGTTCTGAAATGAATATAATATTTAACATTATACCAAGTCTATATTTGTGTTATTAAATTCCTGTATCCTATCCTGTCTGAACCGCCTACTATGAGGTCCTCCCAAAAAGAAAACGGCGAGACGAGATCAAAACCATAGTATAATGAGACTTCAATTACAAAATTTATATTGAAATTACTTAAGTTATTACGAACAGTCAAATAATAGCACGCATTATTTCCTATCCGCGACATCTATCGAACTAACAAGAAAGTAGAAAATATTAATTAACGTTTAACTCACTTCACCGTCTTAACTTTTAAGCTGCTTGTATTTTGTTTTATGCCGGTGGTTTGATCACTTTATTCGCCTTTTTAAGTCAAGTACTGGACATAGGTCCTTCCAGTATTGTGGCAGGTGGCAAGTATTATTTGGAAGATTTCTATAAAGAGTTATTTTTCAGACTAACCAAATTTAAAACATAAATACTGATATACATTTTTGCAGTTTTTATTAATACGCGTAAATAAGGTTTATAAATTTATTTGAAAATATCTGAAATTGAATGTGTTTGATAGGCAACAACTACAGCATACGCGCGCTAGTGTTGTATGAGTTAATGCACGGAGCTCTTGGTACTACACTCGGCGTCAAAAAAATCGCACATCCGAAAAAAATAATTTAAATACTATTTTAACACAACAGGCCAATGGCAATGTTGTGGTTTGAGGGTATCATTCGAAAGGTAATTTCATTAGCTTTCAGGAATTTTAATTGAATTTTACTTTTATAACGAGACGAAAGAGAAATTAAAGAAAAAGACAGGGTATGTACAAAATTGCAAATTAATAATTAAAAAAAAACTTAATAAATACAAAAAAAGTTCTTAAAACCTAGTGTTACCCCCCCTTGCCTTGATAACGGCTTCCATGCGATCTTTCATGGACCTTACAAGGGTCGCAACAGCCTCTTGGGGTATTTGTTCCCACTCTTCAAGTACCGCGTCTTGGAGCTCCTGAAGAGTGGTTGGAGCTGGATCTCAAGCTCACACGCGCCGTTTTAGGTCATCCCAGAGATGTTCTATTGGGTTAAGGTCTGGACTTCGTGCTGGTCAATGCATAACAGGGATATCGACCTCCTGTAAGTAATCCCGTACAATAGCCGCGTGTGGTAACGAGCATTATCATGCATTAACATGAATCCATCACCGACATAACCAGCATACGGGATCACATGTTCCTCCAGGATTTCAGTAATGTACCGACCAGCATTTAATGACCCTTGCCCACGGCCACCCCGAGTCCGGGAAACGCACACAAGTTCTGTTTTCCCGTCGACGGAAATGCCGCGCCAAACCATAAACGAGCCACCCCCGTATTCGACGGATTCTTCGAAGCAGGGTTGTGTGAACCTCTCCCCCTGTCTTCTGTAGACCCTTCTACGTCTGTCATTGCAGAAGAGACAGACCCTCGTCTCATTAGAGAAGAGTATGGTCCGCCACTGTTCTAGAGTCCACTTGCAATGATTGCGAGCAAACTCTAGGCGATCTCTGCGATGCTGTGCAGTAAGTTTTGGACCTTTAGCAGGTCTATGGGCTGTTAAACTCTTTTCGTGTAACATTTTTCTTATCGTAGAAACACTCACAGATGTTCTCCGAGTTGATCGAAGCTGTTGTTGCAACTCAACAGCATTTGTAAAATGGTTTCGTAAAGATGTCGTAACGATGAAACGGTCATCTCTTTCTGATGTGCACCGTTTTCTGCCAGATCCCGGTTTTCTAACATAACCACCAGTCTGCTGAAAACGTTGGTACACCCGTCGACCTGAAAAACGGGACAGGTTCAACTGTCAAGCAACGTCACACTGCCGCATCCCCGACTGCAATAGGGCAATCACTTGAGCGGCTTCTTCAGAGCTGGTGTCCATCTTTACTTGTTCTTACTTGGGTTATTTGTTCACGTGTGTTCACTGCAAAGTCTAAATTACGACTGACCCACATTTCATCCAGATCGACCCTTTTATGCCGGTTTTAGGTGGTGTAACTAGCGCCCTTACTAACGAGCATTTGACAGTGTTTATTTTTGACGCTCTATAATGATAAATGTTTTAATGATTTCATGATTTTTTTTATTAATAATGTAAAGCTATTCAAATACCCATTTCAAACAAATCAATATTTATATAAATATAATTCGTTTCTAGCCATTACAGCCATTTTTCGCGCAAACTCAGAGAGGTGCGATTTTTGTGACGCTGAGTGTATTTACTTCCTTAATCCTTATTTTTTCTTCATACTTTAAACAGGCTTATGTCATAATAAATATTTTCTGCATTTCGACGACCAATTGGTTACCAATGGTTGTTTTACTATGGCGTATTTAAAAATTGGAATCAAGTATATACAACTATTAACAATTTAAAACGATTAACTATTTACAATAACCAATTATTTACAAATTAAATGTGCAATCATTTAAAATAACACTAAGTTATTGGTATTGTTGCGCGCCTAAGTTGATGTCAGGTACCTGGCACTAGTGCCATCTAGTGTCGGGTACCAGAGCGAGGAGGGCTTCCTAGAAAATGTCAATCTTGACTTTCGACCAACAGTGCCATCTAGTATCGAACAGAAGAATTAAGCTTTCTAGAAGCCCCACACTCGAACTTTCAGCGTCTGGTCGGTTGGCGCCCGTATTTACTTGGTGTTTAAAATACTAAAACGCGATCGGGGCAGTATTGAATTTGACGAGACAAGCGAAGCTTTGGAGCGTAGTAAAGTGAATCAGTGTGGTTAATTATTAGTGTCTTTTAAGTTTTAATTGGTGTATAGTGAATTAAAGTGTTAATTTTGGTAATTAAATCGGCAGTTTTTATTGTCACGAACCCTAAGCTCGTAACAATTGGTGTCAGAAGTGGGATAAAATCATGCCGATTTTACCTAAGGAGGAAACGGAGGGTGTCCGTACCCGAAGTTAACGCCAGCAGGAGACGGACCAAAGAATATTTGGTGGTGCAACGCCACAGACGTCGGAGGGCCAGCCACCGGCTGCAGGCCCGTCAGTAGCTCCTACATCTGCAGCACCTGATTTAGGTGCTCTGATGGTGATCTACAATAGCAGGCTCGCCGACAGGAGGAACAGGCTCCCCGACAGGAGGAACAGGTCCGTCAGTTGGAAGAGCAGCTGCGGGGCGGATAGGATGAACAGGCACGCCGACAGGAGGAACAGGCCCGCCGACAGGAGGAACAGGCCTGCCGACAAGAGGAACAGGCCCGCCGACAGGAGGAACATGTCCGTCGGTTGGAAGAGCAGCTGCAGCGCGGACAGGAGGAACAGGCCCGTCGGTTGAAAGATCAGCAGGCGGAACAGGCTCGTTGGTCGGAAAAGCAGATGCTCCTCATGAAGGATCTTCACGCTACCTTTGGGAAAGAGATAAGGGAGGTGAAGGATATGGTTGCTTAACATGACAACCGCCTGTCGGAAGCTGAAACCCAAATCGAGGAAGCTAAAACACAAATCGACCAAGTGAACAATCGGGTTAACAACGTGATAGCTGACGTGAAGAAAACGCTGGACGACCTCAAACTGGGCGATGGAACTACAGCTCCCGTAGTAGCTATTACACCTTCGCTACATGGATTCAAAGTGCCGCCGTTCGAAGGGACTTCTTCCTGGTCGGCCTACAAAATCCAGTTCGAGGCCGTAATGGAGGCGAACGGCTGGAATTAAAGCCAGGCAATGACTGCACTTACCCTAGGCCTGCGCGACCAAGCCTTAACTGTGTTGGAAGCTCTCGGTAAGAAAGTGACCTACGAGCAGCTCCTTGAGGCATTGGAGGCGAGATATGGCGATGCTCACCTGGAACACGTCTTTCGCGCGCAGCTTAAAGATCGCGTGCAACGCAGCAACGAAAACCTGCAGCAGTGGGCCCTTGAGGTGGATAAGATGGTTCGAAAAGCATACCAGTCTGTACCTGCGTTCATTGAAGGGAACCTGGTGCAGACATTCATCGACGGCATCCGCGACCTTGAAGTCAGCTGCTGTGAGGCTGGGACACCACGAAACGCTTAAGGACGACTTCGCCCATGCACTGGAGGTGGAAGCCGTGCGACAGGATCATCGTTCCCATCGCGTCAGGGAGGTTGCAGCAGCTACAGTTCGCGACCGCAACAAAGGATACAGCCCTAGGTGCTATGGCTGTGGGGAAAAGGGCCATCTTCGATCCAGCTGCCCTAAGCGAACCGTAGAAAGGAAAGTTGATCGATCTCGAGAGGGTAGTGCAGCTAACGGCACCGCCTGGCGGCGGCAGGATCATCGTTCCCCTCACGTTAGGGAGGTTGCAGCAGTTACGGTTCGCGACCACAATAAAGGATACAGCCCTAGGTGATATGGCTGTGGGGAAAGGGGCCATCTTCGATCCAGCTGCCCTAAGCGAACCCTAGAAAGGAAAAGTGAACGATATCAGAAGGGAAGTGCGGCTAAAATCACCGCCCAGCAGCAGCAGGAATAGGACTTTACTATCAGACACTGCAGTGGGAAATGGCGAGGCAACACAGATGCATTGTCGAGAAGACCTTGTCCTGATGACTGCAAACATTGTACTAGGCAAGAGAGTAAGGAAGTGGTATCCGTGAGGATGCTTAGGACAGATCACCTCAGCAACGAGTGGAAGGACAGCTTACAACATGCACAGCAGGAAGATCCGGACATCAAGCCGATTCTGAAATGGATGAAGGCCAGTGCTCACAAGCCCAAGTGGAGCGACGTCTCATATCGTCGATGAGTTCGACCACTAAAAGCTATTGGGCCCAATGGGACCGCTTGTTGATTCAGGATGGAGTCCTGTGCCGTAAATGGGACAATGGTCGAGGAGACAGCTGTCGTTTGCAAATGGTTGTCCCTAAAGCTAAAGTGCCGAATGTTCTGCAGCTGTACCATAATGGTTGTTCAGGAGTCCATCTGGGAGTTAAACGAACTCTACTGAAGATCCGAGAACAGTTTTACTAGGTCCATTATCGTGATGATGTCGAGGATTGGTGTCACACATGTCCAAGTTGTGCGGCTGTGAAGGGACCTCAGACACGTAGTAGAGGAGCATCGAAATTGTACAATGTTGGTGCACCGTGGGATAGGACAGCCCTTGACATTGCGGAGCCGTTTCAGAAAGGCGCAAGAGGGACTCCTAAGATCGTCCATGTGGGTCGCCTGGCGCGCTATTATGGTGCCGATAATGCTCGGGACGAGCATGTCTTAGGAGGGGGCAGTGTTGCGCGCCTAAGTTGACGTCAGGTACCTGGCACTAGTGCCATCTAGTGTCGGGGATCAGAGCAAGGAGGGCTTCCTAGAAAATGTCAATCTTGACTTTCGACCAACAGCGCCATCTAGTATCGAACAGAAGAATTAAGCTTTCTAGAATCCCCACACTCGAAATTTTTGCGTCTGGTCGGTTGGCGCCCGTATTTACTCGAATATTCTGGATGTTTCGTTGAAAAAGGTGTATTTAAAGGCGCTGCAAAACGCGATCGGGGTAGTATTGAATTTGGCGAGACAAGCGAAGCTTCGGAGCGAAATAAAGTGAATCAGTGTGATTAATTATTAGTGTCTTTTAAGTTTTAATTGGTGTATAGTGAATTAAAGTGTTAATTTTAGTAATTTAATCGGCAGTTTTTATTGTCACGAACCCTAAGCTCGTAACAGTATTTTAATAGGTGCTAAAAATGAAGTCCTTTTCTCTCAATGCACAGTTGATCACGTTTCCTTAAATTATTTTTCACAACTACGTGGCACCGTCGTGTTGAAAATAAACATAATTCAGTAACACTTTTCTGAAATCTTGAATGACACCATTTTCGTATAGTCTTTGCGCACCATGTAAACTTTCATTGCTTAAAATCTAACAACGTAATATTTCATAGTATTCACGGATCGAATATTTTTGTTAACGAAGGGACTAATAATATAACCAACGATTTAAAAAAAATATGTCCCTGTGTACACTCGTAATGAGGCCACGGTCAAGTCAATATTGTTGGCCTGCCGAACGAACGTACATAACAATGTAACGGCTTACGGATACTAGAGGCCGAGGAAACGTGCTTGCCTTTGCGAGTGAAAATAACTATTCAATAATATCTAATTCTGTAACCGAGCGCTAGCGTCAAACGCCACCGACTGCTTCCGAAGTAAACAGTATCTTACGACTGTGTACGAACGTACTAGTACAGTGTAGGCGCTACAAATTTATGAAGAACGACCAATTAAAATAATGTATGTCCACACTTTAGGAATATAAAAGTAAAATGTTTGAGTTTTTTCTTATTTTACCATTCGCTTATACTACCTAATCGGAACCTCTGCAAATTTGAGCTTTTAGCAAGAATTTGCTAAATAGGCCTGTATATGTAAAATAAGCCTATTGGGTGCAGGAAATGAGATGCTGCTGGCGGCGGAGCGGCGCGCGGCGACGCTGGCGCGGCGGCTGACGCAGCTGTGCGCGCTGTGGTCGCGCTCCACGCACGCGGTGTACGAGCGCTACAAGTGAGTGTGTGTGTATGTGTGCGTGCGTGCTAGCGTGCGTGCGTGCGTGTGTGCGTGCGTGGGTCCATGCGTGCGTGCGTGTGTGTGTGTGTGTGTGCGTGCGTGCGTGCGTGCGTGCGTGCGTGCGTTCGTGCGTTCGTGCGTGCGTGCGTGCGTCCATGCATGCGTGCGTGTGTGTGTGTGCGTGAGTGCGTGGATGCGTGCGTGCGCGTGAGTGTGCGTGCAGCCAGATGCTGCTGGCGGCGGAGCAGCGGCTGACGCAGGTATGCGCCTACGCTGTGCAAGCGCTACAAGTGTTTGTGCGTGCGAGTGACTGCCCCCTCTCCGCAGGGTGCTGGCGGAAGCGTGGCACGAGTCGGGCGAGCTGCGCGCGTGGCTGGCGCAGCAGGCGGCCTGGCTGGACGGGCTGCAGCGCCGCCTGCAGCGCCCGCAGCCCCGCGCGGACGCCGAGGACATCTCCGACCAGCTATACGTGAGTGCAACACTGACACCGACACACACATACACACGCACACTCTCCATTCTTACATTATAAGGAATATCCAAAATTATTTACACTGTTAATCTAAATGATTTCATATAAAATGGTAAAAGTTTCGCTGCAACTATATTATGGTTATACGGTGAAACGTACATATTTCTCTATAAAACATATGTATTTAATTTTGTTAACTTACCACAGCGCCTTTACACATAAGTACTCGGCAAGCAGTGCACTTCAGGCATCCATATCAAGTAGTCGTTTACCTTGTCATTCTTATATCATATCAAATATATATAATATCATACCAAACTATATCATCTATCATCACGTGTGGGAATTACATCCTACAATGATGAACCTAAAATGGCTCAGCTTAAGGCTCGACCGAAATAGGACCACGTTCTTAGCTATACGATGAGTAGCAGTAACAGCGTCCACTTGCCATCAAGTGGACTGTGTGCTCCTTTGTCATATTTATGTTATGTAAATAAGCGTACAAAGGCTTTTACCAATTTGATTTCAATAGATGCTCCAACGAAAATATATTTAAATTATTTCGTTTTTTTCTTTCGACGTACGAACATAATAAAACATTCTAAATAAATACTCATTTATTGTAGGAATGACATCCTGTACATTTAGTTTCTCAGCACAATTGAAATATATTTTCTGTAAAATATTGAATAATTTTATCCTAGTAGGTCAATTAAATATTATCATTGAACTGAAATTCCACCCAAAGGTTGTCTAATGCGGTTATTCTTTTTGCGTTTTACTAATAAATAAATCTTACCGATTATTTAACGACGTGACTTATCAACGTATAAACTTTCATAAATATATAATTTCGACCATTAACGACTTTGCTCGGAAAACTCAAAACTTCAATCAGTTAATAAAGCAACCCCGTCTTCCCAATCCTTTTTCCACTTTACGAACAAATTCCTGTTACAATGATAAAAAAAATAGTTTTAACAATCTTGCCAAATCGAATACTTACTTGCACTCACGCTCATCTAGTGAATGTAAACGGATGTTACTTGTCGAAACATCAGTGCATAAAGTCGTGGGAGTTCCACATTATTCGAAAAAGCATCCGGACTGCGCAGGACCTAGAGAACTACATCCAGAACCACAGCGACGAGCGGCTGGCGCGCATCGAGGACATCGGGCGGCAGCTCATCGACGCGCACATCATGCCCGACTGGATTCAGGCCGAGATCGACGCCGTCACCAGCCGCTGGCACACGCTCAAACAACAGGTACTTTGCACTTTACTTCACTCATTTTCTTTTCATTTATTCGATATAATATTGCAACATGCGGGATAAGTGAAAATGCCGATTGGAATAAGAAATTAATGTATTTTTCCAAAATTGCGTCATTTAAAGTGGTCGAATCGTGAGGTACATGATAATCATAGATGTTCGATTGCTCGTAGTCGGTTCCCGAAATAAACTCTACTTTCGCGTTACCGAAATAATTAAATCTTCGATTATCTTCGGTGACCTAGAGAACTTGATAAGGGGACTATAGAACTTTCTAGCTCAATGACGGTTATTCTACTCTCTTTATACTTGATAAAAGGAGTAGAACTTTCTGGCTCAATGCCGGTTATTCTACTCCTTTTATACTTGACAAGAGGACTATAGAACTTTCTAGTTCAATGCCGGTTATTCTACTCTTTATACTTGATAAAAGGACTATAGAACTTTCTAACTCAATGTCGGTTACTCTACTCTTTTTATACTTGAAAAGAGGACTATAGAACTTTCTAGCTCAATGCCGGTTATTCTACTCTTTTTATACTTGATAAGAGGACTATAGAACTTTCTAGCTAAATGCCGGTTATTGTACTCTTTTTATACTTGATAAGAGGACTGTAGAACTTTCTAGCTAAACGCCGGTATTTCTACTCTTTTTATACTTGATAAGGGGACTATAGAACTTTCTAGCTCAATGCCGGTTATTCTACTCTTTACGTACTTGATAAGAGGACTATAGAACATTCTAGCTCAATGCCGGTTATTCTACTCTTTTTTATATTCGAAAAGAGGAATATAGAACTTTCTAGCTCAATGCCGGTTATTCTACTCTTTTTACACTTGAAAAGAGGACTATAGAACTTTCTAGCTCAATGCCGGTTATTCTACTCTTTATAATTGATAAAAGGACTATAGAACTTTCTAACTCAATGTCGGTTATTCTACTCTTTTTATACTTGAAAAGAGGACTATAGAACTTTCTAGCTCAATGCGGGTTATTCTACTCTTTACATACTTGATAAGAGGACTATAGAACATTCTAGCTCAATGCCTGTTATTCTACTCTTTTTATACTTGAAAAGAGGACTATAGAACTTTCTAGCTAAATGCCGGTTATTGTACTCTTTTTATACTTGATAAGAGGACTGTAGAACTTTCTAGCTCAATGCCGGTTATTCTACTCTTTTTATACTTTAATAATATAATAAATATTTATTTCATTTCCAATTACACATGTTTACATACAGGAATAAATATGATTACAATTAAATGAAGTAACAATAAGTCTAACAAAAAATAACATACTATGATAAAATTAAAACTATGTGTAGCTTAATAATGTAGAATATACAAAAGAAAAAGAAAAAGTCAAGTTTATAATATCAGCTACCTGCCTGAATTAGGTTGAATACCTGTGTTTCAAACATCACTTACACAATGGGTTTAATAATGTAGGATACTAGATATTTAAATAATTAAACTATATTATATAATAAATAAAATAACTAAATAACAAAATAACAATTAATTGTTACCTACAATTAATACAAACTATTTTAGAATTTCTAACAACTTCTCTGTGTCTTCGTAATTTAATTTATTTAGAAATTCCCTTACACTTATATTACAGTTCTTATAACTTAGACTATATACCTTTAGTGACTTGTTGAGCTTGTTATATAGAAAGGGTCCTAAAAATATGTAAAATTTGTTCACAAATGCGTGTTTGGTTTTAGGGTTAACACAAACTAAGTCCATTCTTCTCCTGTCTATGGATTTTGAGTTAAATGGAAGTTTGGTATGCTGTTTTAATATGATGTTCAGGATAAACAACTGACGAACAGTTAGTACACTACGTGCCAAGTAAAGTTGATGTGTAGGAAACATGAATGGGCGGAAAGTGGCTACCTTTAAAACTGCTCTCTGTGCACGTTCTAATGGGAGCAATATTGTTTTAGAAGCTCCACCCCAGGAAGTAATGCCGTAAGTGAGTATGGATTGACACAAAGCTAAATAGACCTGTCTTATCAATTTGAAGTCAGCGATGTTACGAAGATATTTAAAAATATATATTAATTTACGAACTCTAGCACAAAGTAAATCGATGTGCTTGCGGAAATTTAAATTTGTGTCAAGCGTGATACCTAGATATTTTATATTGTCTGTTTTTGTTAAAACGGAACATGCACATGCAGTGTCATTATACGAGTTACAATTATGAGCGTAAATATTTAGGTGAGTTGGTATGTTATTATTTCTCATTAAAAATAACATATATTATGTTTTATCAGCGTTTAAACGCAGGAGATTATTAAGAAGCCAATTAGATACTATGTTAAAGCCTTGCTGAGCGTATTTATAAACCTCATCTCGTGATTTAGCTGAGAATAACAGGGCTGTGTCATCTGCATACGACATAATGACACCATTTTGAAGTTGAAGATTGCATAAGTCATTTATATAAATTAGGAACAATGTAGGCCCCAGGATACTGCTCTGTGGGATTCCATAAGAGCTGTTTTGTAATTCAGTACTTGTATACTCACCGATTTTTACATATTGAAAACGATCACTGAGGTAATCAGAAAAAATTGTAGTTGAGTTCCCCTTATGCCAAGTGTTTCAAGCTTTTGCAATAGATAGTATGAAATGCTTTAGCAAGGTCTAAAAAGATCCCAATTGAGTGCATACCGTTGTCAAGATTACTTGTGACGTAATCTGTCAATTGGTGCAAGGCATCATTGCATGATCTCTTAGGCCTAAAACCAAATTGTCTGTCTGACAGCAAGTTGTTAGTTTCCAGGTATTTTATTAACTTGGTATTTATGATCTTTTCTAAAATTTTAAATAAGCCAGATAAGACTGAAATCGGCCTATAGTTACTAACTAAGTTTTTATCACCAGCTTTGTAAATAGGAGAAACCACTGCTTTTTTAAGCACTTTCGGGAAAATACCATTTGATAGGCATAATTGAAAGATATGTGTTAACGGGGCGGCCAGTAAATGTTTAAATCTTTTGAGTATGCGATTAGGTATGTTGTCCCATCCAACTGCACAATCTTCTTTTAAGCCAGATATTATACTTAAAATCTCATCAATATCGGTATTTAACAATACAAAAGAATTTAACTTAGAAAAGTGTGGGCATAATTGGATTACGAGTGTTGCTTAGTTGTCTCTGCTATTTTTTTGCCAACATTAATAAAATAATTACTTACTTTATTAGTTGCTTCGTTTAGGCTTTTGCCTAATGACAGTAGATCAAATGGGGGTCCAAGATTTTTTGAACTGAAGGTATTATTTTTAATGAACTTCCATACAAGTTTACTGTTTTACCGGCCTTTTGTAAAACATTTTTATCATATTGTATTTTGAGGTTTTTTAATAGTTTATTGCAAAAATTCATATATCTTTTATAAGTAGCAGAAAGTATTAAATTATCAGGAGAAAGTTTAGATTTTAAATGAAGTTTGTCTCTATTTCTTATACAGCGGACGAGACCAGGTGTTATCCAAGGTTTAATATTATAATACTTACGTGACAGTTTTATTGTTGATGTATTATTCATTATTGCGTATTGTAAAGAATTTATAAAGTAACTCATGGACGTATTTGCATCGTCAGAGCAATAAACAAAGTCAAAATTAATGCTACGAATGTCATATGGACTTTAGTGTAGTTGCGTATGCAGTTTTTCCTAGGTAAGGCTAATTGTAATGTTAGTAAAATTGCTTGATGATCAGTAAGCGAGGAATTAGTAACTAATTTTAAAGAAGGGTTATTTGATTTATTCACAAAATGGTCTAAACAAGAGCCGCTTTGATGTGTAGGGTGGTAATGTGTTGGTAATAGCCCATGAAAAGAGCAAACATTTAGGTAGTTATGTGCATGGTTGTCTGTTTTCCCAGGGGTAATGTTAATATTTATGTCACCGGTTAGGATTATATTTTTATATGTGCTAAATTTGCTTAAGGTAATATCAAGGGACTCTAGAAATCTATCAATATTTTGTGAAGGAGGTCTGTAAACTGCGATAACAATCGTCTCGGAATTAATTCGAATGATTAAGCAATTACTATCCTGGAATGTAGGTTCTGTGACAGTTACTTTTAAATTATTTTTAACATAGATTACTAAACCGTCATTTTGATTAATGTTTTTCTCGGTTTTGTGTAAAGAATAGCCATTTAGAATCGGTAGGTGGGCTGGGAGGTTTGACAGCCAACATTCTGTAAGGATAATAATATCACATTTTATATCCAGTCTATGCAACAAAACTTCAAACCCGGTTATATTCCGATTTATGCTTCTAATATTTTGTGTAAGTAAGATTAACTTATTTTCAGGACGTGGAAGGAAGTGTTTACAGTCATCAAAATTACATGTTTTGGCGTCAGACACAAAAAGTTGTCTAGGTCATTGAGAATTGATTCGCCATACTTAAGCTTAAAGATAAACTAAAACGAGTGTTTAAGAGCTAAGTAAATAATATAATACGCGGCGCTCTTAGGCGCCCTCATAGTCTATGGAGTTGATATATTTGTCCTCTGCGAATTTACGTGCTGGACAGCTTTCATCACCAGTTTTGTGGTCGCATTTTCTTTTAAAACGTTTACACGTCGCGCAAACGGGGGCATGCGCTTTGTTATTACATTCCTTAAAGGAATGCCCGAGCTCTCCACAGTAGTTACATGTAGGGCTACTTTCCCGACAAAATTTGGCTGAATGACCAAACTGCTGGCAGTTGAAGCGTCTTGTTACTATTGTAAAGTCTCTGACTGGGCATGAGGTCCAATTAATATAAATTCGTCCTTGATTGATAAGGGCCTTCCTGATGCTAGGTGACACTTCGACAATGTAATTACAGGTAGGAAGGTTTTTCTTACCTGATTTATGGCTCAGTTTGACTGTTGCCAGGAAGGACTCACGCGTGGCATTGGGAAATTTATCGGCAATATTTTGTTCGAAAATGCACTCGAATACTTCTTTATCCGTGAGGGCTACAGGGACACCAACAATTGCAATCCTTGGACGTCGTTTAGTCGGTTCTTCCATGGTAAGGCCAGAAGATACAAGCTTCTCGGAATTCTTTAATTTGTCGATATCTCCTTTTGTCTCAGCGCTAATTATAACTCCCCCATTTTTGACCTTCCTCATGCCTTGGACATGTAGTTTGAGTTCTTCTGGGGATATTATTTTTTGTAAGAGGCACTTCGTGTCATCACTGGATTTGGACTTGTCACTCGGATAAATTGCTAGGGTACTAAGGCTGTTTGGGCGAATGAGGGTTTGGCCACCTTTTTTGACCGTGTCCACAAAAGTGGTTCCAGAGTCCGGTTTTGATGACTCTTCGATTTTATTCTTGAGTTCCTGCAGCTTTTGGGACAGGTCAAGTTGTTTCTGCAGAGATACGATGGAGGTCTGGGCTTTAGTGGCATCCATTTTGAGGGTCATGTACTGGACTACCAGTTGTGATGTACCGTGGCTTACTTTTCGACAAAGCGAGCTAATGCGCATTTTTTGATCAGAGTTAAGTTTTCCCTCTGTTGCGATGGAGCACACCTCGTTAAGGCACAGGTCAATGCTTGTCATCCAATGCTGCAACTCAGGAGTTGGAAGTGTTTTGATTGGTTCGCTTGAAGTGGGTGTCTGCATGGGCGGGGTTGATGGAGACGGGGTGCGAGTGGTCCTGGCACTCCGGTTAAAGGGACTGTTCTCCATTTTAGTACCTATTCTAGATAAAGCTAAAACATTTCAACAAAATCACTAACACAAATATAACTAAAGTATGTCACAGTTATTTCCGGTATTGTTATAACGAGGTTACGGCTAAGCACATACTTATTTAATTATTTTAATTACTATATGACACGTCTGTACACAATAACGTGCACTTACGAACTCGAACTTTAAGAGGACTATAGAACTTTCTAGCTCAATGCTGGTTATTCTACTCTTTATATACTTGATAAGAGGACTATAGAACTTTCTAGCTCAATGCTGGTTATTCTACTCTTTATATACTTGATAAGAGGAATATAGAACTTTCTAGCTCAATGTGGTTATTTCTTTATATACTTGATAAGAGGACTATAGAACTTTCTAGCTCAATGCTGGTTATTCTACTCTTTATATACTTGATAAGAGGACTATAGAACTTTCTAGCTCAATGCCGGTTATTATTTTCTTTTTATACTTGATAAGATGATTATAGAACTTAGTAGATACTTGGATAGTGAAGTAAATTTCAACTAAATTTTATAATAAAGTACGTAGGTGTATTATTTCTGTAGATAAATTATTACTTCATTCTTTTTTGCTATAAGTACCTGAAAATGAAATAAATTCACCTTTCATAACTTCTCACTAAAATCCTTCGGTAACTTAAAGAATGATATATCTGAAACCTTTGTTGGTCATTTAGCATCTATCTATGCATCAGTTATAGTGGGAACGACTTGTTGCCATTACGATTGATCTAATATATATATATATATATATATATATATATATATATATATATATATATATATATATCAGTGTGTAAGTGTAAACACCGTTGTTACTGAAACCATAGGTAGTTGGCTTTAATATAAAAATATTTATCCGATTTAAAAAAAAACGCTATTTCAATAAAAACACAATGGTACACATAACCTATGTTGTAACTTTTCCTTCGTACTTTCTTACTGGCTTAGGACAATCAAAAATTCCTACCCTTTGTGTTGCGTGACGAGTCCAAATTAATGTAAGTTAGATTTAACAACAAAGAAAATTAAACATTAATAATAGTAAATCACTAGGTAGGATTTTTGGCGTATTTAAAAGGTTAATCATAATGTTATGCACACACGGCTACACACTAAGCTATGCAAATCCAATGGGTAGCTCGCCGTCCAATCAAGGACCCGGGGTCCCGGGACTGTCTTAGCAAGATACCGCGGCCTTGGAATGCAAAGGGCATTTGAAGCTTAAGCTGACCGTTCATTGTACGGAATGATCATACAAAGCAAGGCCAAGACAAACTGGATTTGTATAGCTTGATGTGTAGCCTGATTGATTGATTATTTACACTTACCTATTAAATAAAATCCTCGTAAATGAATCCCATTTTGAACAGCTTTTACGATTATCAAATTACGATGTTCAAAATGCGATCCATTTACAGCCACGCTTGCCTCCGCACGTTTCCGTAGATTGTTACGCACTCTAGGAAGCACAAAAGAGTCATTTTTTAAGTCTCGAAACACACTAAGAATTCGCCTTTTGAGTTCCGACGTATTACGGAACTTAGTTTCACGATTTGGCACAGGTTGTCCAGGGAATGATTCTGCGTACATTCGTCGAGCCTCGTTCACATTGTCGTGACTTAACGCATAAAGTCGGACCATTTCGGTCCACTGCACGTTTGTGTACGACATAATTCCAAACTAGCAAAACTAAAAAACACACTCGCAGAAAACTACGCGACACGGCGCGCGGAGCGCTTATAATTCAAATAAACACGTACATTCGCTTAACGAAGCAGCGACTGACTGACCAACCATGACTGACAAAATGAAACAGTGACGCTATGGTAGGGCTGCCAGGTGCAAAAATGGTGTGATCGTACGACTACTAAAAAAAAATCGTATGCCAAGGAAATTTAGAAATGAAAAGATCGTACAACTTATAAGTACAAAGTTTTTATTAAAAATAACAAATAATCGTTTAGTTTTAGAAAAGAAATGCAATAAAAGAAATAAAGAAAGAAAACATATTTATTTGGCAGATGCCTTATGTATACCTACACAACAAAACAAAAAAAAAATAAAATAAAAACTTAAAACTACACAATTAAAAAAACTATTAGAATTATACAATTTTTCTGTGGTCATATTGTTTAACATTTCTTTTGTTGGCTTAAACTTCGTACAATTTTCGTTTCTTCTTATTAATTGTTTGGCTAATAATGTTCCCTTTAGTGTTTCATTCGATAAACTGTTTCTAAGTTTTGTTTTTATTAAGTTTACTTCGCTGAATGCTCTTTCACAATCTGCACTAGAATGGGGCAAACATAACAAATTTAAGGCAAATTGAGCCAGTGTTTTATAATTCTCAAATTGTTTTTGATGATGCCCCAAAACTCGTCGGTATTCATAGATAAATCAATTTGAATGTCGTCAGGTTTTACGATTCTTGGAAAAAGTATCTCTCTCTATAAAGAGTCTTCATTTAAGTAAAAGATCTACGTACGCGTTAGGTTGTTGGGGAATTCCCCGAAACTCATACTTGCCAGTTGAGCACGTTCAATTCATTATGAAATGTTGCCAGATTTGCCAGGTATATAAAAATCGTACATTTTCCGTACGATCTTGGTCTAGCGATAGTACATGAGTAAAAATGCCAAAAAATCGTAGGAGTACGATTAAAATCGTACATCTGGCAGCCCTGCGCTATGGACTGTCGGCTGATGGCCTTGACCGCTCAGCTGAGCGCGATGGCGCTACAATATGTTGACTATAATTTTGTATATGCCTAGGGTGAAATAATTCTAAGGAAAAAATGAGATTTGACTTTAAAAAAAATGTTGTTATTTTTCATTGAATTTACGTTCTATAAGTGAAACCAAACCACTGGTTTCAAGGACAACGGTGTTTACACTAACACCCTGTATATATATATATATATATATATATATATATATATATATATATATATATGTATATAAAAATTTTAAATTACATTAAAACCTTTTCAACTATTTTATCCTACAATTAAATATACTAAACGCTAAACAAAAACTATTTCAACAAGTAGTTACAAAAAATTATTTACGTAAACAATGTTAAAGAACTATAACATTCAATCGTCTACAACGCGCTAGCCCCGACTGCGTATGTTACCCTGGGTGCCTCGCGATTGTAGGTAATTATTCTATACAGGTAGCAGGAGTGACAGAGTGTTTGTCACGCGGAGAAACCCCGAGCATAGCCCCTCTTCATATAATGTCATAATTTGTATTAAACTGTAATTTCAATTTATAAAGAGATATTATTATCAAGTTTTACATAATTTCTTCTTGATAGCTAATCGATAATTTTTGCTTTGAATTGTGTGTCGTTAATCGCCTTTTTTTAAATAGATTTAACATTGTTTAATCTCTGGATACGCTATACTGTAAGCTGTCACCCCATGGTGCGGGGTATAACGCAGACTGTAGAAAACTGTGTCAGCATTCTAGGTTCTAGAGCGCTTAAGTGGTGTTTGCTACTAAGTAATATTCGTTGGGTGGTTCGCAATATTATGTACTAGGTAAGAGTATAAGAGCGTGAAGTGAGATAGGTTGATGTTGGACGTGCGCAGGCGGAGGAGCGCATTCGCGAGCTGGAGGAGGCGGCGAGCGAAGCGGCGCAGTGGGAGGCGGCGCTGCAGCAGCTGCAGCGTTGGGCGGAGGCTGCGGGTGACGCGGCGGGCGCGGGCGCGCGTCTGCATGACGAGCTGGCGGCGCAGCGCGCTCTGCTCGCCGACGTACGTGCGCGCGCCGAGCGCCTGCAGGCGGCCGGTCGGCAAGAGGCGGCCGCGCGCCTGCTGGCGCAACTGCAGCCCGTGCAGGTACCACACCACTCACACGGCACCGACAGTTTATATTTCGCGCAGATAAACACTACAAATGTCTGACTCTGTCTCTGTTTGTACTCAAACTCGCCGGTATATTAGAACAGGTTGGTGTAGATCACGGGCGGCGGCGAACGCTGATATCAACAGTAGTCGTTACTAAAGTGTTATACTATCTTTAAACTATGTGTTTTTAACTTATTGTAAGGCAGTCTTTGTCTGCAATCCCACTTTGTGGTAAATAGTGATAAAGCCGTAGATGATAAATCACACTATCTTAGCGTTACAAAAGCCTATAGCCCGTACGGATAAAGAATGGGATTATATACGGCGGCTCATCGAGCCCGTACCGTTACATGCACAATACAATTTTTTTGAACCAATATTAACAATGCCATAAACATTACTAATATTCCCCTTAACCACTCGTGGTAAGCTTAAACTGCTTGTGTTAAGAGTGGTTCACGCCAGTAGTCGAATGGCGGATTCGAACCCACGACCTTTTTGAGTTCGCGGTCCGCGCCCTGGCATTAGGCTACTGTCGCTTAATTACAATACAAATAATGAAATAATACAATACTGTTCGGTTTACACCGAACACATTTTGTACGCGTTGGCATTTAACATTAAACTTTCTATTTTTAGCAAGTACGGACTCACACATTGTCTCGTGTGGGTACTCCTAATATTTGTAAACATTTTAACTATTATATTTTAACGTTTACATCAAAAGATCATCTTTTTGGTCTCATCTCATAAGCCCTACTCAGTTGAGGGTAGGGTATGTTTGGGATTAATTTTTGCTCAATATATTAAGAAAATTTTGCCTATTAATTTCGTAATGGTAATTGCCCTTTTTTTGTTTTGGTCTTAAAAATCAAATCAGTACCCTTCAAAATCCATTTTCATTATTTGCCAACAAAGTGACCATTATGGTTACTAATCATTAAAGAGCTACAGCCCTGCGACAAAGAGACAGACTTCGTGCTGGGGTTCCGCCGAGCACTGCGCCCTCCGCCGGGTAGTGGCGGTGTGAGGATGCCTAGAGCCTCATGTCACCGCGTGTGTCGTAAGGGGCGACAGAGAGAAACAAATCAGGAGGTTGCCAACCCGCTTGCGAAGCGTAGCAACTATGGCAAAATCCCCCATATGAGGCAATCTATGGGGGAGGCTTATTCAGTAGTGGACTTTAATAAGATGTAACGGTACGATACGGGGCACACTTTGGGTACGGAACACTAGGAACGGACATTGCTTGAAATAACAAATATTGAATAGCAAATACAATATTTTTGTTCGAATCATTAATTATAAACAAATGTGTTTACGACCTACCGTCACTTTATTTTATATTTTTGTTCACGCGATTTGTAATATGCATTGTCATTGTGTCATCTTAGCGTCTGAGTATTGATCACATCTAACATAAAAATTTGTGTTGTAATTAATATAAACCTGTGCTAAAGAAAGTAATGTGTACTTAAATTGCTCAGTGTTAACATTCAAGTTGAAGGAAATAAACCGAAAGTTCATATGTATGCAGTTTTATCATTTCACAATTTCAATTGGTGTTAACAAAAAAAAACGTAGATGAAAGCCATCAGCGATACATAAAGAGGGAGTTTTATTCAAAATGTGTAGCTACACTAGATAAACTTGGTACACACCATCTTTTTTAATTCGAGTGAATCCTGTTGCCATTCCGCACTTGCATTACTATATTGCAATGGGTGATAAGTAATAACGTTCCAGTTTTTTCTCTTTCTCAAAATACTTCATTGCGTTATATACAATTTTATTTCTAGTACTATATAGTACTTTCCCGCGTTTATGCTCCCGTGTTAACAGAATATAGATAAAATACATACATACATAAACACTCACGCCTGTCACCCAGAGGGGTAGGCAGAGACTACAGACTTCCATTTGGCACGATCCTGACACACCTCTCTCGCCTCCTTCACATCCATACACCTCCGCATACATGCTCGTCGGTTAAGGGTACTCCTAATTTGGCCCGTTTTCAATAAATCGCCAATTTGGTCGATAAATTTTCGCCTAGGACGTCCCTTTCCGACTCTGCCATTCACTTCTGCAACATAAATTTTCTTTGTCACTCTTTCCTCATTCATTCTTTCCACATGACCAAACCACCGAAGCATTCCTTTCTTAATCCTGGTCACAACATCATCTTGCAAACCACACTCTTCTCTTATTACACAATTTCTTACCCTGTCATTAAGATTCAGCCCTAACATACTCCTTAACGACCGCATTTCTACTGCGTTCATTCTACTCTCGTGCTTCTTCTGCCACACCCAACTTTCACTACCATATGTTAAAGTAGGGACCAACACAGCATTGTGAATTGCCATACGTGCCTTTTTCGACACATTTTGACTCTTCACAATAGAGTGCAGGGCCCCATTTACTCTATTTCCCGCATTCACTCGTCGTTCTATATCCTTATCATATCTCCCATCCCTGCTAAATACGCAGCCCAAATATACAAACTCGTCTACTTGCTCGATCAACTCCCCTTCTATTCTTATTTCACAAATCGTTTTACTTTCTTCTCTTTCAAAAACCATAACCTTCGTCTTACTTGCGTTCACTTTCATACCCCTTTCTTTTAATGATCTGTTCATTAATGTAACCATCATTTGCAACTCGGCCGCCGACGACGCAAGTATAACTTGATCATCGGCGTACAAAAGGCATTTGACGGTTAACTCACCCATTCTTAATCCGCATTCTTCAACTTTCAAATTTTGCAAACAACTGTCCATAAATAGGTTGAACAGCCACGGGGAAGCTACACAGCCCTGTCTGACACCTTTATGGATGTCAAACCAGTCCGAGTAGACCCCGTTGATCCTAACACAAGCACTAGAGTCCCTATAAAGGGACTCCAATGCCCGTATCAAGCCAGCGCTCAACCCAAATGAGTTCAGTGTTTGCCATAGCACATCCCTATTCACTCTGTCATAGGCCTTTTCCAAGTCCATGAACGCACAAAAAACCTTTTGGTTTTTGGCCAAAAAACTTCTCCGCGATCATGCGCATGGAAAAGACTTGATCTGTACATCCCATTCCCTTTCTAAATCCTGCTTGCACATCCCAAATTTTTCCATCAGTTTCTTTCATGACCCTTTCAATCAGTACCTTAGCATACAGTTTTCCCACAATGCTAAGAAGGCTGATGCCACGGTAGTTTTTACAGTCCTGCTGCGACCCTTTTCCCTTATATACTGGGACTATCACGGCTTTGCACCAGTCTACCGGTACCCGCTTCAGTTCCCAGCATAAATTAAACAAGGTGTGCAGCAGGCCTGCCACCACTTCCTCTCCAGCCCTTAGCATTTCGAGTGAAACTCTATCATATCCGGCAGCCTTACCTGCTTTCATGCTTTTCATTGCTTTCATTATTTCACCTACACTAATCTCGCTACCTCTTTCCTCTTCCTTCGGAATTTCTACTTCACTTAGTACACACGTTGTCTCCTCACTCATAAACACGCTTTCAAAATATTCCTTCCATCTCTTTAAACTCAAAACTTCATCATTCAGAATATAGCCATTCTCGTCTCTTATAGCATTCATCATAGGCTGTTTTGAATGTCCCCTGGCAGTTCTTACAAGTTTCCAGAACATTTTAATATTTGCCTGGAAATTATCCGATATTCTTCTATCATTCTTATCCGTTCTTTCTTGCTTTTTTCTTTCAACTACTTCTTTTACTCTCTTATTAAGATGTCTAAAGACTGCCTTTTTTCTTTCAATATCATCATTCGTACCGCTAGAATTACCAGCCTTTGTTGCTAGTAAATCTAGCCATGCTCTCTTCTTTGCTTCAACTTCCATACGTACCTCATCATCCCACCATAACGTATTATTTTTCCTTTCATTCTTTCTCTTACTAACACCACATACTTCGGTAGCTGCATCCACTAAACCTTTCTTTACATTTTGCCATACATTCTCCAAGTCTAACTCCTTCATACATAATTCATCCAAACCACTTATATTTTCTTTCAGTCTACATTTGAACTTCTTTTTCTCACCTTCATCTTGTAACCTTTCTGTTCTAATACGCTGTAACGCAGTGGTAGACACAGATGACCGATGGCGCCAACGCCTGAATAGACCATTAATTCGGCATAGAACCAAATAATGATCCGTTCCTACGTTAGAACCCCGGTAAACCCTTGTATCTACAACTGCGCCCCTCAATCTTTCATCCACAATTATTAAATCTATCATGCTTCTATCGTCACCTCTTTCCCAAGTATACATGTGAATCCTCTTGTGGCGAAAGCAAGTGTTCGTCACAAAAAGATTCTTTTCCATACATACGGTGAGGAGACTTTCACCATTCTCATTTATACTTTCATCACCAAACGTTCCCAATATCCTTTCATAACCAAGCCTCCTCACCCCAACCCTTCCATTAAAATCTCCTAGCATAATAATATTTTCATTTCCCTTACACTCCATTAACACCATCCTTACCATTTCCCAAAACTGCTCTCGGATATAAGTGGGCTTAGACATGTCTGGGGCGTAGACCCCTAACACAAACAACTTCTTTAAGCCCACTTTCATTCGTATCCACAGCAGTCTTGGGCTTACACATTCATACTCTTTCACACATTGGCCCATTCTTTCTGAAAGGATGATACCTACTCCCTGGCATGCCCGCTCGATCTCGTCTACACCAGACCAGTATGCGGTATACATGCCATGTGTAGTGACATCCTTTCCCTTCCTTTTCGTCTCATTTACACATAACACATCTATTCCTCTATCATTCATCATATCGCATACTTCATCCATTTTATCATTCATTGCCCCACATACATTCAACGTAGCCAGACGGACCTCTGCAATCCACTTTTCGCCTCTCCGGGAGACAGAACGTGACGGGTGGCGAACCTCGTCGCCGGTTTTCCTCCCGGAGATTCTTCGCACCCCTGCCCCATTAAAGGGGCGCCGGGAACTCGGGGCCATTTCTATTATATTGTTCCTCATGGTGCGGATAAAGGGTGGTATATTTTACGCCTCTACCAGGGCGTGGAGCCGAGTCTGTGCTATCGGCTTGTCGCTCATTTAGCACCACCCGGGGGACACGTGTAGGGTGGGCCTAGGAATAGGTGGTCAGAGACTACGGACGCGAGCGACTTATCCCCCCTATATATATATATATATATATATATATATATATAGATAAAATAATTAAAAAAATACAAAAACGTAATAGTCAACAAAAACGAAATATAACAAAAATAGCGACTTAAAAGTATTAACAAAAGACGCTAATTTCAGTCTCATTCTTTAACCGCACGAGTAGTATATTGTATTGTAAATTGTAGCTTTGAAGACGCCCGGATTATATTCGGACGGAAAGATAGATGCCGGTAAATTCTTCTATTTCTTTGCTGTATGCATTACAAAAGATAAAACCAACAGTTTGGTTCTAATGTGTGGAATATCGACAGGAAAGCGGTGAAAACAATGTGATCGCACAGATGTCGCGTTTTTTAAATACAGAACTAAAATGGTTGTGTATGTACGGCAGGAGAAGCTAGACGCGGTGGAGGAGCGCCTGAAGCGCGAGGGCGAAGTGGGGGGTGCGGGTGGTGTATGGGAGGGCGTGGGTGCGGGCGAGTCGGCGGGTGCGCTGGAGGCGCGGCTAGCGCGCGCGCTCGGTGTGCTGACAGACGTGCAGCGCGCCGCCGCCGCGCCGCACGCGCACGCGCACGCACAGCGCCCCGCAGACCCGGACGCCGTGCGCGCGGACCTGCGTCGATGTCTGGTGAGTGCACGCACACGCACGCTGGCGGACATGCAGTGCGCCGCACGTACACGCGCACGCGCAACGCCCCGTAGACGCGGACGCCGTGCGCGCGGACCCGCGTCGATGTCTGGTGAGTTCACGCACGCTGGCGGACATGCAGTGCGCCGCACGTACACACGCACGCGCAACGCTCCGCAGACCTGGACGCCGTGCGCGCGGACCTGGGTTGATGTCTGGTGAGTGCACACACTCGCACGCTGGTGGACATGCAGTGCGCCGCACGTATACGCGCACGCGCAACGCCCCGCAGACCCTGTTGCCGTGCGTGCGGACCTGCGTCGATGTCTGGTGAGTGCGCACGCACGCTGGCGGACTTGCAGCACGCCGAACGCGCACGCGCCCGTACTGTAGATCCGTAGAATATACCGTCTGAACGCAAATATCTGCATAATCTAAAATAGGCATCACTAGTGTCTAAATTAGCATTGCCTTTGTCCCTATCGGTAAAAAAATCTTAAGAAAATATAGATAATGCAGTGTTAGTGATCTTTTTGCTCACTTGATATGCTGAATGACATTTTTACCGTTTGAAAAAAATGGGTTCTAACAGGTTAACGTGAAGTGTGTGTGAAGTGAGGTGAAGTGGAGACCTAGGGCACTATTATTTTACAATTTTTTTTTCATCAACATATGAAATTGATCTATGAATAAATACCATTTACCATTTTGAAGTATACTTTCCTTTCCAAAAAATAAAAAAAATACATTTTTGAGCTTAATTAATAAATCAATTAAAAACTATCGAAATTCAAATCATACTTTACGAGCTGCAATAAAAATGAATTTGTAACGCACTCGCCGCACCAAACAAAGGACAGGGACAAAGATCCTTGTCCTTTTGCGAGTCGCAGGTGCAATGCCGCCCCCTCCCGCGCTCTCATTCCAGTCACCTGTGATTAGCTACGGTGTGACGTCGTATTGTTTATGTTTCCGCGTGTGCATCGGCCGCCCGATGATAATTATCGGAAACGTATACCAATACTCTTGTACACGCCCTGAGTTGCCCCAACAAAGGTCGACGGGATCAGAGCCCATGAGTGGTCCCCTTGACGAGCAACCAAGGGTGGAGCCCAATAGATTATGGATAATTAAATTATAACGGCTAACAAAGAAGCAAGCAACACTTACCGATTTGCAGAGGTAGGGTTGACAACAGGGTACCTGTCAGGTGATAAGTGAGGTGCATGTAAGTAGTGTTCAGTAATGTTTACAATGTGTAACCTGACATCCCCGCTGATCCTGGACTGCAATCCCCTCTAAATGTGGGATCCATCCAAGGGGGCGTTCACCAATGGAGAACTTCCACTATATTAGTTTATCAACTTTATTGTCCATTTAATTAACTTCAAATTCAACCAAATCAACGTTAATCGACATTAAAACAAGTGACACGCTGCACAAATTAAGGACGGTTGGTCAAAGTTCAAAGTCCCAGGTTCACTTAGCACAAAACTACTAACTCGTCGATGCAATTAACGGCATAAAATTTCCTTTAATCACTCCAAATTCCAAGTAGGTAGGTAACACGTTCAAAACAGACAACTGAATTCGAGGCGGTCTAATTAGACCCCAATGTTCAATAGTAATTCAAGATGGCGGACACAATTAACACAGATTTAGGCCTTCAATCAAAACACCGGCCGCCCGCGACCGTATACCAGTCACAAACAATACTTAAAACGGTTACAACAATAATTATATAATTCCGACCTCGTTATCACGAAAACAAATTAAGATAACACTGTAAGAGGCTCGCGACGTATAATCGACCCGGGCTTCGCGCAAATAAGCTCAAGAATAAGCCTTGTTGTCACGCATATTAATGACAAATACAACAAAAGAGAGGCCGTTGTTATTCGACGCCATAATTATTATCAAACTCCGACCTCTAAATTGACCCGGGAGATTATGTAACGCCCGACGTCTAATTGGCGCGGCCTCAGCGCCCAAAGGCTTCCTGCCGACTGCCGCGCTTACTGTGCGCGTACGCCACAGCAAGCCTCCACCTCCAGCGCTACGCTAACCGTTTCCTCACCCCGCTCGAAGCAATCGGGCGTAAACAACTTTAATATCGAGTACCTAGCAGTGGTGAGATTTTATGTCTTGTCTGTTGAAACTTAGACGGTGCGATGAGTCGATATTTACGCGCGTTGTAATTTACAACGTACACAATGACCACTTTTGGAGTTTCCAAAACCCACACAAAATTAACGAACATTCAAACACACATCATTAACGTTTACACCATTGGTCAAATTTGGGTTTAAGGTCAATTAACGAGAACAACTTATCTGCAAACGATACGTTTCGTCATCGACACAATGTTGGAAAACGTTCCTCATAGTCATCTGCTAGGAATGTACTTCCAGCGCGACGGATATCCAGCTCGTTACGAAAGATCTGTGCGGCGCATATCTGAACAGCCAATTCAGTGATAGGTGAACTGGCCGGCAAGATCACCAGACCTAAAACTTCTAAGCCGTTCAACATAGAAGAAGCACAAAGTCTTAAGGGACCCCGAGACAGTTAAACGGTTTTATTCAAACCTCACGTGTTTGACCAAATCGTTTGATGTCGCTTTGAATTAAAAAAAATGCTATAAAATATTTAGACATCTCCAAAGGAGCTGGGCCTGATGGCCTTCCCGCAATATTTTTTCTCGAACCAAAGATAATCTGCATATTTTGTTTAATAAATGCATGCGAAAGGAAACTTTTCCTAATATCTGGAAGCTTGCTGATGTCGTTTCCGTACATAAAAATGGGTCAAAGCATGTTCCTGACGTCACAGCCTTTCGTGCTCCCCGGCTCGTATCGCCGGGCAGCGAGAGTCAAACCGGTTCTGCGAGCCCCACCACCATCGTGGACATAGCGCGGCACTACTACGCAGGTCTCTTGCTCGGAACTACCCGGTCGCGAACGCACGCATAACGGCTCCTCTTGTAATATATTGTATCAGAGCCTATTAAATCACTTATACATTCTACATATCGAAGTATTTATTCGAGAATTCCACCAGCACAAGTGGAGCTCGATATTGAGTATCATAACATAACATTGAAAACTATCGTCAAATTTCAATCTTATGTACTGCATCAAAACTTTGTGAAAGATCAGTACATAATGAAATCTGTCCAATTTTTCATAACACTATCATACCAGAGCAACATGGCTTCGTAAAACAAAGATCAACTATAACTAACTTGACACTCTTTGTTGGTGAGCTATTTTTTAATATCGATAATCGAATACAAACAGATACTGTATACACAGATTTCCAGAAAGCATTTGACAAAGTTGACCATGAACTACTTCTTAAAAAATAGCACTTAATGGAATAAGAGGCAATCAATTAAGGTGGTTTTCTTCATACATTTTAAATAGGACCCAGACAGTTGTTATAAATGGCCACTGTTCCAATACAATAACAGTAACATCTGGTGTACCACAGGTATCTATCCTTGGTCCGTTGCTCTTCATCCTCTTTATAAATGACATAAACGAATGTTTTAAGCACTTAAAATTTTTATTATATGCTGATGATCTGAAGGCTTATAAAATTATAAAAAATGTAAATGATTGTTTACTTTTTCAAGAAGATCTTAAGAATTTGGGTTTGTATTGTCTAAAAAATAAACTTTATCTTAGTTTTCCAAAGTGTCTAACAATATCTTTTACTAAAAACAAAAAGAGTGGTTAAATTCAACTATACCCTCTGTGACAAACTGTTGCATAGAGCCTCTTTTGTTCGAGATCTTGGTTTAATTTTGGATCAAAAACTCCACTTCGATTTTATTTAGAAAAAATTATAAGCAAAGCATATCAATTTTATGGTCTTGTCATGAGATCATCAAAAAGATTCAAAAACCTACAACATATTTGTATTTGCTTAAGTCCTTGATTCAGCCGCAATTAGAATATGCTTGTGTTATATGGGACCCCTACTATGCAAAATATAGTGAAGCCATAGAAATAATTCAAAGCAAGTTTTTACGCACCATGCATTATCGTCTTAAATATTTTACCCTTTCATATGATAAACTTCGTGTTAAATATAATTTAGTCCCAATGAGATCGAGACGTTTATTATAGCAGGCTATGTTTTTGTTTAATATTTGTCATATTAAATTTGATTGCCCAGCGCTTTTAAACCAGATAGGAATAATAGTACCTCGCCATAATAACTTACGCAGTGTACGCCGACGATGTGTCTTCGCCGTTAGAGCTTGCCGTACTAATGCCGGCAAACGCATACCACTGCGACAGTTGATGTCAGTATATAATGATAAGTTTTTAGATATAGATATTTTTGCAACATCTTTACCCAAGGCCCAAAAACAGCTAATTAAAATTACACTTAAAATAAATATATGTTATGATTTTTTCTTTATTAATATGTTACTTTTACTATGTATAAATATATTGTATAAGTTTAATTTTGTTTGTACTAAGCAAAACTAAGTAAGATGTGGATAACGTAGTTGATTGTACAATTAACCATTCAAATTCAAATTTAAACTTCTTTTCTTTGTAATATTTATTGTACTATTGTTTGTTGTCCCAAATAAAAAAAAAGAATTAGCATTAAACAGAAGCGCGCAATGGGACTTCAAAGTTCAAACAAAAAATTCCTATTGTGATTTCAAAAAATACCGTGGACTATGGATAAAGATTTTCTTGCGTTTTTTGTATTAATGTCTTGCTTAAATAATAAGAAAAAAGAAACAGAAGTATTTCATCTTCGTCTGTCGCGAACACGATCAAAAGGCGCTTCAAACAAAACCAAAATATAAATCTCCATCAAACGAGCTTCAAACACGTAACGTTTGATCAAACCTGTCATACCAACGGCGTAAACGATCAAGTTGGTTTGACTCAAACCAAAATCTACGTGTTTGAATTAAACCGCTTGACCGTCTCGGAGCCCCTTTAGAGATTTAAAGCAGCGTATATAATAGA